TCGAGCCGCTACTTAAGGTATACCTTACTAAAGAGTTTTTACCGAGTTAGACCGTTAGCCGCATTATAGGTGTACCTTACTAAAGAGTTTTTACCTCCGCTAATCTATCTAAGACCTCTGCAGTTTGCACTAAGACTACGATGTTCCAATAAAAACTATACTCTTTCGGTTAAATGCATAGTCGACGCCCGCTAAAGCTATAGAAAACAACCTACTCGCTAGGAGAGTCGCCTTCGCAACGTCTTGCGTCGGCAAAGCCTATCGGAGACCTTAAAAGAAAAGAAGGACTAAACAAACTCTACCGATCGAGGAACCTTAACTAACTTAAGCGGTTCTATTAGTAGCAAGCCGTAGGACTAGTTAGGAGATAGTGTTAATCGCTATAGAGCTACCTATATACGACAAAGAGGTATCGACACTATTATATACGCCGACAGCTAGTATATTGCTAGGGGTGTTAGTATATTAGTGTATATAGAAGAAGAAGAAGAAGAAGAAGTTAAACTAGGAAGCGTAGGTCTATATTAGCGCATCGTAGGTAAGGTTTGCCTCTACTAATAGGATTGCGCTATTTAGCTATAATAGCAAGGCAACAATAACGGCTATACATTATCGCACTTTTAACGCAATAGCCGCCGACTGCTACTAGTTAAATGCCTAAGGCTAGAATTGCTAGCGACTAGAGGCATTATACGCCTAGCCTAGCTAGCTATTAAGCTATTATCGTACGCCTAGCCAAACCCTTCGTAGCTAGCTATTAAGCAATTATCGTACGCCTAGCCTAGCTAGCTATTAAGCAATTATCGTACGCCTAGCCTAGCTAGCTATTAAGCAATTATCGTACGCCTAGCTAAACCCTTCGACTTTATAATTACCCTCGACGAGGCACGCACTCTAGTCTACCGCTACTACTTCGCCGCCAACCGCCTAGTTAATAGGGCTATCGTTGTCGACGGCAAGCGCACTTATAAGATAAAGCTAGCACCTAAGAGATAAAGCTAGTAAGGAAGGCCTAAATAGTAGATATAGCAGGTTAGATTACTATAAACGAATACAAAAGCTATATTCATTTATTCCTTAGTCGCTATAACCGCTGCCCTTATCTATATCTTAGTTACCGCCTGTCGTATCGACTACTTTAACCTCCGCATCGATAAGCTAAGCCTATCTATTAGCACGTTAGATAGCATCGACCTACTTAGAGTCGGTCTTATCGATAGTAGTACCCTATATATTGCTACGATTAGTCGTAGCCTTACGACTAGCCTTAGTAGCCTCTATGTCCTCTACGACCGTATCCGTAATAGTAGAACGACCTTCGAAGTACTCCTTATTGCTTTAGTTAAATATAGCGACCTTCTCGCGGATCTAATCGCTACTAAGCTACTAGATATCGTCCGATATATGCCTACCGTTATTGCTATGCGGAGCTATAAAGCTATCCGAGAATAGCTTCTCTACGCGGCTAAAGACGTTAATAGCCGTATTCTTATAGGTATAGTAACTGCTTAGCTTAATACTAGTAAAGGAGGTTATTATATTACGCAGTATACGAGCCGGCTCGCGGTTAAGTGCGATCTTCTTAAAGGTTGCTAGCAGGTTATAAGTCGAGTTACCGATGCGATTAATGTCTTCTAAGTACTCGTAGTTATAGATCTCGAGCTGCTTATCCGCCGCTATTATATAACCCTTCTTCCTATTAGTAATAATACTAGAAGACAGAATAGCTTCTTAGAGGACATTATTACAGCCTAGACTAAGCAGCTATCGCTTATATATTATTATCCGACTATAATTTCCCTGCTTAGCACCGAGGAAACTAGGGATTAGATAGTCGACGGATCGACGGAGATAACTAATATCTGCGTTACAGACCCCGAGGCGTAGGGTAAGGAACATCTTAATCTCCTATATTATCCGAGCTATAGTAGTATACTAGGCATTAGGTGCCGGCTTACTAACGCGGTGCGGCAAGCTACGCTATGCCTCGATAGATAGGAGCTTCTTATAGATGTCCTACACTATCTCTAGGTATTGCTAAGCGGTTAGCCTAGATAGGGCCTCCTTAACTACATCTATACGGCTCTCCTTACTAGAGATTACAACGCGGCCCTGCTTAGATAACTACTTAATAGCCGCACCGACACTACGAGCCCGGAATATAGTCTTAAGAAGCCGAAGGATCTCGAAGAATTTTAGCTTAATACTGCTAACCTTGTTCTCGCTATACTAGAATATAGCATCGCCCTTTGCTATCTAAGCGCTTAAAAGAGGCTTCCTATCGCTGTTCTTATCCTAGTACGTACGCAGGACAGTGAATATATAGTTCATTATAGTGTAGAACTAGGCTAGCGATATAAGGAGGCTATCGCGCTTATCGTACGGGTCCTTATTCTCGATACTCTCGTTACGCACGCTATGCCTACGCACGACGGTTATATTATCGCTATTCTATATGTATAGAGGTCCCTCTAGCCCGCTCGCAAAGTCCTTATCGCGGTCTAGGTCCTAGAACTTTAGCAGGATCTCGTCTTATATAGTATATATACCCTTAATAGTCGCCTCGTCGTTAAAGGAAATAGGCTACGAATATACCTCTATACGGGCCGGGTCCAACTCATCGATTACTAGCTATACTAGTCGCTTTAGATTACTACCGCTATTCTCGAAAATTGCCTTTACGGCCTCTAGGAACGTATACGCAATAGCCTTATCGATACAGAAGAGCGCAGTCTTAACACTAATATCGGAAACCTCCTCTCTATCCGGTCGTATTACCTTATCTTTATAGATATTCTTAAAGATCTTATTAGCGTTTAGCGGCTTGTCGTAATAGATTATCTTCTTCTTTAGGCTACCCTTCGGAATGCGCTTGTTAACGGCTATATACGAGGTAGTTATAGCTACTATCTAGTTAGTATCGCTAGTAGCCTAGTCGGTACGGTTCTATATCCGATTGAAATTGTCGATAGTACTACTATACTGCTTGTCGGGGTAGTTGCACAGCTTAGCAATTTGCGTCTCTATATAATTAGCATTCTTATCTACCAAGATCTAGATAGTCTAATATGCTAGAGTAATGTTTAGGTTGTTTAAGACCTCGATCGTACGACGACTCGCACTATTACTAACGAGGAATATTCTAAGGGCCTTTAGAAAGAATAATGCCTTAATATAAGACATAGAATATAGGACTTAAGAGGTTAGCATCGTCGTACGCTTCCGTATAATATTACGCTTGTCCGCGAACTTAGTCTAGTACTAGTAATAATCGCGACGTACGTTAGGTAGTAGATCCTAGCCGAGCAACTAATGCTATATAGGAGCGACCTATTAGATAGTATCGTCTATATCTCTAAGGTCGATTTCGAAGTTACAGAACTCCGGTTTATATATACTAAACAAATCCTTGCTAATAAGGTTCTTTAGCTTATTACGAACAATACGAGCACTAAACAGGCGATCTTCTAGAAAGGCATCGATAATAGCCTAGAGGTTCTTCTCGTATTGCTTAGAGCGCTTAGTAGTCTTGCGAGTTTTAGCAGACGCAGATACTTTGTCGCCCGGCTTACTAACTAGATACTTAATAAAGTAGGTTATACTAACCTTGTTCTTTACTATAGTATCCTTTAACTCCTTATAATACTTGTCGAGGAGCCGCTTAAGCGCAACGTCTTTGCTAGTATAGCGTGCAATTTCTAGGGCCTCTTTATCTTTATCTTTATCTTTATCTTTATCTTTATCGCGAGTATCTAACTCCTCGTTACTACTAGGATCTTCGTCTTCTTCGCTAAGGTCTTTATCTATAGTCTCCGACTCTAACTACTTATCTTCGAAGTCGCTAACCCTAGCTATATCCGCTAGTCGTACGATAGTCTCTAGTGCATCGCTTAGGAAGCCGCTTATAGAGTGTATCGGCAATGCTACTATCTGTTTAGGAAGAGGTAGACCGACTAGAGCGTACTAATAACCTAGCTAGCCTAGAAGTAGCGCATTATCTAAATCCTAGTCTATTAGATCGCCGCTATCGTCTTGCTACTAAGGCGGAAGGATTAGATTGCCTTTATCATCGTAATTATATACTATTATCTTACTAGAAGGTTCGTTAGATATCTTAAAGGACTCGAGGCCTGCTAGCGGTGCTAGTAGCGGTGCTAGCAGCTATAGTAGTAGCGGTAGTGCTAGCGGTCTGCTAGCGGTAGTAGTAGCGGTAGTGCTAGCGGTCTACTAGTAGTAGTAGTAGCGGTAGTAGTAGCTATAGTAGTAGCGGTAGTAGCAGCGGTAGTGCTAGCTATAGTAGCAGCGGTAGTGCTAGCGGTGCTAGCAGCTATAGTAGTAGCGGTACTAGCAGCTATAGTAGCAGCTATAGTAGTAGTGCTAGTAGCGACTTTTAGGTGTTTTAACTTTAGCTTTAAAGTCGCGTCTGCTATATAGTAGCAACTTAATAACTATACCTCGGATAGACTTATACTATATATAAAAGGTGTTTAGAAATAGTCTACGAAGGACCTCGAAGTATCGAGTCGGCTATAGGAAGGTTATCGATTGCCCTCGAAGGCTATAGAGTAGTTAGTAGGTATCGGACGGAATTTTCGCCTATCTAAATAATAATTACTAGCGTTAGGAGAAGGACCTCTAAGTATTAGCTAGGCGATGCGGTATATTATATGTTAAGGTGTTTCTAGCAGTATAGCTAGCCGCCTAGCAATTTAGATAGCTATAGTCGAGTCGGCTTAGTAGAATAGCGAAAACTTAATGCGCTAACGTCGTATAGACTTGTTTAATAAGTAGAATAAAGCGCAATTAGCAGGGCTACAACCTCCGCTATTTAGAATGTCTTATATACGTTATAGTGTTGTGTTAGTGTTTAGTAGGCTGGTTTCGTACGGGTTTATATTAGGCTCGTAGGCGAAGAATTGGGTAGAGTGCTCGTAATTGGTTGTCGGTAAGTTCGGAAGCTAGCCCTAATTACTAATCTATCACGTGCACTCGGTCGCAATATGATCCCCATTCACCTTTACGCAACTCAATTCTTCATGTCCACGAGCCTGAATGGAGGTAGGTCATCTTATGACCTTCATCGCCACGTCTATTGGCTGTCTAAAAGCCGACCTCGCTGACACTGCATGTTCGCCAGTTCCAACAGAACCGTTACTATAAGGCTGATCTGTGCGGCTTTCAAGATGCTTCGGCCGGCTTCAGGTCCAGATCAGCTAAGCACGTTGTACTCACGGGCGTGGAACCAGGTATTTGCACCCCAGAACAGTCGTAGTGGTATTGTATCTCATCAGCAGACCATCTCTGCACACGAGAGAAAATACTCCAGCCCAGCATGCACCCAGAATTCATGCCCATGAAGCATAATCGACCAGATCAAAGATGCACAGGGCCAGGCCGGGCCGAGACCAGAAACCTGAGCGGTCAAATCTTTCGCGAGAGACAGTACCTCAGATGAAGCCAACGATCTCCCAGAGCCCGATGTCACTTCTCCCCAGACTCCGATGGTTTTGACGACTCCCTCGCAACAGCTCATCCGAAGGCGATCAAGGTCGAACGAAATCCAAATCGACGTATCCAAGGCCATTCGCGCGGCTCCAGACAACCCTCGTGAACTGCTGTAAGCCTCGATGAGTGGTTCAGAAATCTCTCCGCCGGGCTCGAAGACATCAAATTCGTAGGATCAACTCGGGTGGATTGGATTGTCCAATGTCCAGGCCACCAGATCGGAAAATGTGCCGCTGAGTTTTCTTGCGCAGGAATTTCCGAGTGGTGAGATGACGGTGTTTGTAACAGTTCAGCCTTGTTTCGGGGAGGTCGTGGGAGGCGTTGTTCCATATTGAGACCACGTCGTCTCCTCATAGAATCCGGGTAGAAGAATCTCCAGCGACGTGTGAGTGCCCATCATGATCTTTGAGCTCTGGCTTCACTTTCACGCGTTTGCACACGCAAAGTGAAGCGGGAGCGGGAGGCAAGTGCGTCAATTGCAACTTCATTCCAGTCCACTTCCGCATTCCAGTCAACACTCCGCAACACCACCCCCTTTGTCCACCACCACCACCACCACCACCACCGCCAAAATGCAACGCGAAGCCTACACCCCCACAACAACAGCCACTGCGGCCAACCAGCCATCCTCTGCAGCCGCCGCCGCCGCAAACCCATTCCCAACCCAGGCCACGGATTCCGCGAACCAAAAAATCCACTACATCTGCCTGATGTGCGAGCGCGACTGCTACATCGCCCGCTCCGAGCCCGTCCGCTGTCTGGAATGTGGAGAGCGCATTGTGAAGAAGGTGCCGACGAAAGTGTGAGTTTCACGCCGAAAGGGAAGGGTGAGCAGTGATCGATCGGAAACTGACGGGTGGTTGTAGGCAGAAGATATTTGAGGCGCGTTGAGGGGAGACGAACGAATCATGTCAAGTTACGGACCCAGGCAGGCGCTCGAAGGATGAATATCGTCGAGGACTCGAGGGCTGAGAATTGTGGCGAGAGCGTGAGGGGGTCGTAGTCATCGTCGAAAAGCGGTGCGATTCGACACGAGGAGAACATCCGAGGTTGCTAGCAGGGTTTTATAAACAGAAGAGCAACAACGCCATACCTGTTCTTCGTGCCGTGAGTTTCATACTTGCCTTTTCGGTACGGAGTGCCTCGTATACCATCGTACTCTCGTAGCCGGTCAGTGGTGCTTCCGTAGCTATCTATGCATACTTCGAATATTGCTACGATACGGTGCGGTACGGCCTGTCTGAAGCACCATTGATTTGATTCAAGTGAGGTGTTTCATCGTCTTCTTACTGGGCTGGTCGCTGACTTTGATCAGGACTGACGCTGAGCTAAGAGAAGCCTCTCGTGCGTATTATCGTCAGACTGTACGTCTGATTCGCAAAATTTCGTGAGCTCGCAGGGACTACGTGGCTGGGCATATGTGTATGCACGATTTATTCAAGTCGTTCTTTCGTACTCGCACAGAAGAGATGGTTGATTGTTTTAAACGCGTAGAAAGCTCCAGGCTTTATCGTGCTTGATCAATTTGACCTCGCATCAATGCTAACTTGTTGCTACGGTCAGCGTGAGTGGGCTCCGAGCCATGATCGAGTACAATTCTGTTGGCTAGTAAAGCACAATGACTTGCTAGCAACTAGCAAGCCATCTTGGAATGATTCGGTGACCGTGTTGACGCCATCTTTCTGGCCACAGACCATACTAGACTTATTCCAATCCGAGCAATCCTTTCCAACAACGCAATAACCTAAGCATAACTTTCAATCAACCTGTTCCAACCACACCCACTCCTCACCATCTCATCTCACCTACTTAGTCAAAGCCCTCGGACACCCCAAATTCTCAAACTCCGGCTGCACCCTCGACGCGAAGAACGCCAGCGCCTCAACCGTGGGCGTGACAATCCCATTCAACGTACTCGGCACAGATTGCGTGGCAAGCTGATACAACAGACAAGCCGTCTCCGGCGCCTCGACACCCAGCTGCAAAGTCCCATTCCGAATCGCCCCCCAATTCACCGCATCAAAACTTCCATCCGCTGTATTACCCCCAAAAGGCCGTGGGTTGAGAAGATACATTTTGAGAATCTCCTGGGTCACGAGACGGTTGGAGTAGGGCGCGACGCGATTGATCCAGTTGTCGGGGAGACGTTCGTGGACGAAGAAGGATTCCATGGTGGTTTGGTCGGGGATGTAATCGGGGCCTGAGGGGAAGAGTTCGTAGAGGAACGAGGCGGCGCCGAAGAGGAGTAGAGAAAGGGGACCGAAGTAGAAATTCGGGTTTTCTTCGACCGATTGGTCCCAGCGTTCGCCGCGGTATTTGGCGAGGTTTTGGAGGTTGTGCAGGCCTCCGGTGGAGCGGGACATCATGTCGTAGAGGGTGCGGTTGAAGGAAAAGTTGTCGCCGCCGCCGGTGAAGAAGTCGTTGCGGGTGAGGGAGGTGTCGCTTTCGAACCTGCATTCGTTCAATATTAGGAATGTGCTCTTGCTGGGCGGGTGAGATCGGGCTTACTTGTTGTGTCCGGCTAGACCTGGCTGGCTGCCGGTCAAGACGGGGTTGATGGAAGTGCGAGTAGTAGCGTCACAGCCGATAGAGAGCTTTCCAGTGACGAGGTCACCATCAGCCTGGAGACCCAGGAAGGCGAGCAGGTTGGCAAGGTCATAGCCGACGTTGTAGACGTTCTGCTGAGCATCGACCAGCTCGGTGTAGGTGGTGATGCCGTCGCGAGCCAGGAAGCCATGATTGGCAGCGGTCTGAGTAGAATAAGTGAAAATCATTTGAAATCGGCACAATCTCCCTCACATTCAAACCTGGGCATGGGCCTCTGATGTCCCGACCAGCTCTTGGTGCTTGGAACTGATGCGCAGTATCGCCAACTGCTGGCACTCGGTAGCCACCTCGCTCATTACCCTTCCGTCCATTGCGGGCGTTGTTGTACTGGCCTTCGGCGATTGGGGCAGCAGGCTGATGTTGAGCATTGAACGGGCATTGTGCTGCACTGCCTGGACCTTCTGGGTTTTGCTGTCGCTTGACAAAGTCTCGTGGATCAGAGACACCGGGGACGTTGACAACCCAGGGAAAGGCGGAAGCTCCAGAAAGGAGAGAAAGCGCAACGAAGGACTTCATCCTGAAGTGTTCCTCAATCGAAGGTCTCAAGGACTGATTGTCGTCCTATAGAGGAGATTGGAGTCTTGATTGCTGACCGGTTCACACTGCAGGCATCCGTGCGGTCAAGATATATCACGTCCAAACGCCACATCGTTACATCTCAAGATCCAGCTTATTGAGAACCACCGAGGAACATTCGCCGTTCATGTCGATCTCCGCACTTGAAAGTATTGTCTGAGACCATGCTCTATTGCCACAAGTAGTTCATCACGCGGGCAAAGTACATGCTGTGGGGCATTAGTGTCTGTACGGGCCACAGCTGATGCAAGAATGCTCTCCAGTTGACATTGCCATCTCGGTGATTGGATGTGGAGTTGTCAGTCGTATCAGCCACGTCCCAAAAGATCCTGCATTCGCTGTGAAGGGCCACTTGGATTCTTGACCGGGTGCCTGGGCACTCGCTTTCGTAGTCTTGGTGCTGCGGTAACCAGTCTTGGTGGTCGGACTTGGCCGGTCGTAGGTGGCTTGGCTGGGGGAAGACGTGGTCGGAAAACGTCAACTTTTGATGCCCGCGAAGTGCTGTTCAAGGCCTTCATAATCGACATCTAGATCACTGCTGGAAGAGTTGAATGACGCTGTCGAACGTCGCGTCCAGATGATACTGATGTCTGCAGAAAGTACGCAGTTAGTCTTGTACGCCATCTTGGCACGGTACACTGGGCTAAGCCGCCGAGCCGCAGATCACTTCTTCTGCCATATGACTTGCGGCAGAGGCTGGGCACCTACCCTTTTAGTCGTCCAAGATCTGGAGAAAGAGAGAAGAGCATGCGGAGGTGAAGGTCTTGGTACCAATGAAGGACTGATATCTTTCTGCTGACCACCGAGGAACTGACGCCATTGGTATGACCCTCGGTGATTTCTTTGGGTTGGGTTTAAGTTTGATGTTAAGGTGTGGGAGCCAATTCCGATGTGCCCTGGTAGGTGCAACCGTGCTTCTTGGTGTTTGACCACAGTGGCGCTCACGAGAGTTGTCTATTGAAGGCGCCACCGATGTAGTATTCTGCCCTGAAGACTGCGAGATGCTTTGCTTCAGGATGTTTGTAGGTGGCTTTTACAGCGACTGAGATGTCAGGTGGGGGTGACTTCGCATTTTGTCATGAGTGGCTAACAGCGGATCGACATGATGTGAGCAGTACTCATGTGTAAGGTCCTACTGCTGAGCAGAGCCATCATCGGTAACAGAAGAAATGCCGCTTCAGGCGCAAAGAATGCTTTAGCTTAGACGAGTTGCAGCGGCATTTTCGAGATTGAATCGACAAGCCCTAGGGTTCGATCGCCAAGAATGACTTCTGGATGACTTACCTGTGCCTCGGGCCAGAGTGGACAAGCTGTTGGTGCACTCGCTCGCGAGGGTGTTTGCATGGAGCTGATGAGAAGAATGCATGTTCTCGAACCAGCGTCCTTGCCCATGGAAGTAACAGATCCGCTCTGAAGTGATGCCTCGGGAGATTGACAGGTACCATTAGCACGAGAGCATGGTCTAACGTTTGAGCGTGGCCGCCATGTGAGCTTGGATGGTGCAATCTGCATCGGCATAGCTGAGCGAACGCACGCAACCTGGTGCAGGATCAAGTGCAGTATCAAGCACGTGGCAGCGAAGCCGTTAAGCATGAATGCCACAAGAAGACTGGAATATTGACTCCCCGAAGCTCTTTCGATTTCGATCATTGCAGGCTGAAAATGCCGAGTGGTCGCGTTTGTTGAGATTGCTTACTCAGAGGCGAAGAATCATCTGCAGACTGGTGGCGAAGAGACCTGATAGGCACGCTGGGAGGAGAGCCTCGACTCGGTAGAAGTTTGCATGAAAGTCCTTTGAATAGTCTGCGGCTTTGGTTGGTACCCGGAAGGAGACGGCCGTGTTGTAGTCAGCGTGAGCAGATCCTTTTCGCCATTCGTGCGGTTTGGCATTCCGGAGGCAAAGGCGCACAAGTTCAGTGCTCATCCCGAAGGCCTGTAGCATCCAAACCACACCTCTTGAACCGTACTCTTGCCACTGCCTTTCGAGTATTCGCCATCTCCGAAGGGCCACGACAAAAGGAAGGCAAGCTCAAGCGATCATGAGTGGGTATGGGCACAATCAAAGCATACAGGCAAGTATTCCGTCGCCGACTCACGCAAGCGCTGCGTCGCGCCCACTCATGCTCCCAGTCCACTGAACAGCCTCTGCCAGCGCAATGCTGACCCTCTCTTCGCCGTTCGCATTGTAGTGTGTAGCAGTTTCATCAATCCTTGGACGTCACAGTCTGCGCGGATGGTGTGTGACTGCCTCCCAGCTCAAGCTCTTCCCGTCGCTCCTGAGCGGCCACGTCGACCACCTCTTTCAAGATCGCACAAAAGCTGGATGAACGAGTTGAAGACTCTGCCAATGTAGCATCTTTGCGCAATCTCCCACAACAACGCACCATGCCTTTGCGGGATGATTCGCTTTACATTTCACGCTCGTAGCTCCATGGAGTATCATGTACAGGGCTCACCTTCGCTCAAGCAGCAGTGCTCTCGTCGCTAGTCTGTTGCGTTCGAGCACCGGGGACCTGGTATGCCATGTACCCACCTCTCCCTGTGACAAAATAGCGTCAAGTGTGGAAAGTAGTCGTGTGCGAAGCGATTGTGCAAGCTCCTCACAGGAAGGAGCATCAAGCGCTGCAATACCGTATATCCCTCAATTTGCAATGTCCACCAGCATGGCCGAAAGAGTCGTGCGCTGGACAGACAGCGCCTGATGCTATGCTCTTTCAGGTCATAGACTTGGCCAAGCTACTCGGATCCTGGATCGGCACACATGAATCTTGATATTCGGGAGGACGATGTAACGAGGAGAGGGAGGCTCAATCGGGTGATGCAGGGGACGTGGCGGGAATGTCGGTAGCTGGCGATGGTTGGGTCGATGTGGCGGCCGCATGAGGCAGAGGTACTTGGAGACTTGGTGGTTTCTGCGATATGGAAACGCGCCATGACGAGCTCGATTGCTGGTGAGGATCTGGGAGATCAGCGAGTGACTGCGACTGTGACTGGGCGGGTCGTGTGCCGAACAGGAGCATCATAGACGTCAGGAAAGGATTTGGTTTGTAGATGAGGGAATAGAATACTCTTCAGCATGTGAAAGGCGACTTGTGATGGCGAGTTGTTTTTCGAATCCCTGCCGATTCCGATTCCAGCTGACTCAGCTGACAATATTCTATCGTATGCGCTTCTCGTATGCTGTTCTTCGCCATCAGTGCTCCTAGCAATATTGATGGGCGAAATGGGTCCGTGATGTCGTGATTTCTCTGGTGAGTTAGTCTTGGCATGATTCGGCAGCGTTCTGCAGATTTCGCAACTCGCTCTTTCGCTGCCGATTACGGCTGCGTCGCTCCTGCCTTCCGTCTACATCATAGTGGGCCGATGTGGAAAGAGCCAATGGCGATTCTTTCTTACTCAAAAGCTCCACAATTTTCGAAGAAGGTACGACGGACCCATGACGCTTCCCTGCCTTACCCCGCGCCGTTGCTCGTTGTTTGGCGGGCGGGCCGCGGGCAGTGGCAGTATCACGTTTAGCAGCGGGATTCTTCGCCGCAGAAATGGCAAGGTGCCAACATGCTCCAGCAAAAGCTCATCGCTCTCCCTTTTCTTCACCGAACTATTTCTCCTCGCACACCAGCACTCCTCGCACGCACACAAGCACTCCTCGCTCGCACACCAGCACTCCTCGCACGCACCCAACACCACCTCCACACATCTCCACCACACTCAGCAACACCCACCAAACGAGATCTCACCATGGGCGAGTGTCCCATCAGAACAGCACCCATTGGCGGTGGCGGGACTCGCAACCGTGACTGGTGGCCCAACGAGCTGCGATTGAACATCCTCCGCCAGCACTCACCCGTCACCAACCCATTGGGCGAGAAGTTCGACTACGCCTCTGAGTTCAAGAAGCTCGACTATGCCGCCCTCAAGAAGGATCTCCACGCATTGATGACCGACTCCCAGGACTGGTGGCCGGCAGATTGGGGCCATTACGGTGGTCTGTTTGTGCGCATGGCCTGGCACAGCGCTGGTACATACCGTGTCTTTGACGGAAGAGGTGGCGGTGGTCAGGGGCAGCAGCGGTTTGCCCCATTGAACTCCTGGCCAGACAATGTCAGCTTGGACAAGGCTCGACGCCTGCTGCTCCCAATCAAGCTCAAGTATGGCAACAAGATCTCTTGGGCGGATCTTTTCCTCCTCACCGGAAACGTCGCTCTGGAGTCCATGGGCGTCAAGACGGAGGGTTTCGCCGGTGGACGTGCCGACGTATTCGAGGCTGACGAGTCGGTCTATTGGGGTGGCGAGACCACCTGGCTCGGAAACGAGGTCCGTTACTCGGAGGGCAAAGAGGGTGTCGCCGGGCACGGTGTCGTCGATGGCGACCAGTCCAAGAAGGAGCACAAGGACATCCACTCTCGCGACCTTGAGAAGCCGCTGGCCGCAGCTCACATGGGTCTCATCTACGTCAACCCAGAAGGCCCAGACGGCGTCCCAGACCCACTGGCTTCTGCCCGCGACATCAAGACCACTTTCGGTCGCATGGCCATGAGCAACGAGGAGACCGTTGCTCTTATCGCTGGCGGCCACACTTTCGGCAAGACGCACGGTGCTGCTCCATCCGACCATATGTCTGTCGAGCCACACGCTGCCCCAATTGAGCTGCAAGGACTTGGCTGGACCAACAGCTACCGATCTGGCAAGGGACCAGACACCATCACATCTGGTCTCGAGGTCATCTGGACCAAGACTCCCGTCCAGTGGAGCAACTTCTACCTTGAATACCTCTACAAGTACGACTGGGAGCTTACCAAGTCGCCAGCTGGTGCCAATCAGTGGGTCGCTAAGACCGACGACCAGCCTATCCCAGATCCATACGACCCCAACAAGTTCCGCAAGCCGACCATGTTGACCACCGACTTGGCTCTTCGATTCGATCCAGAGTTCGACAAGATCTCTCGATCATTCCTCGAGGACCCCGTCAAGCTCCACGATGCATTTGCTCGCGCTTGGTTCAAGCTTCTCCACCGTGATATGGGTCCACGCGACCGCTGGCTGGGACCAGAGATTCCAAAGGAGGAGCACATCTGGGAGGATCCAATTCCAAAGTCCACCACCAGCGTTTCCGACTCTGATGTCCAGGCTCTCAAGAAGCAGATCCTTGGTGCCGGCATTCCAAACGAGGAGCTCATCCGCGTGGCCTTCGCATCTGCCTCCACCTTCCGTTGCACTGACAAGCGTGGTGGTGCCAATGGTGCCCGCATCCGCCTTGCTCCACAAAAGGACTGGGAGGTCAACAACCCAAAGCAGACCGCTCAGACCATCAGTACCCTCGAGGGCATTGCCAAGTCCTCTGGCAACATCTCCGTTGCCGACATCATCGTCCTCGCCGGTGCCGCCGCTCTGGAGCAGGCTTCCGGCCAGCCTGTGCCATTTACTCCAGGCCGAGGTGATGCCACTGAGGCCCAGACCGACGCCGAGTCTTTCACCCACCTCGAGCCACAGGTCGATGGTTTCCGAAGCTACGGCCACTCTAGCTCGCGTGTCAAGACTGAGCAGTTCCTTGTCGACCGTGCTCACCTTCTCGGCCTGTCTGCTCCAGAGCTTGTTGTCCTCCTAGGTGGTCTCCGTGTCCTGAACCAGAACTTCGACGGGTCGGCCCATGGCGTCTTCACCAAGACTCCAGGCAAGCTCACCAACGATTTCTTCACCAACCTCCTCGACGTCAACACCGCCTGGAAGTCTGTCGGCAACGAGGTCTACGAGGGTGTCGACCGCAAGACCGGCGCCAAGAAGTGGACTGCCACCCGCGCCGACCTCGTCATCGGCTCCCACCCAGAGCTGCGCGCTATTGCTGAGGTGTATGCCTCCGCAGACAACGCCCAGAGGTTCCAGCAGGACTTTGTCAAGACGTGGCACAAGATCATGAATGCCGACCGATTTGATCTGACTTCTGCAGCCAGTAAGGCTCGCCCCAACCTTTGAGTAGGTCTTATGTCTTCATAAGGCTGTCTCTTTTGACATTCGACGTCTAAACATTTGCTGATGAATTTCCACAGAGTAAAAGCTGTGCCTCCGACAGCACCAAAACCAATGATACCATGATTCGATGCGTGAGGGGATGAAGGAAGGGAAGAGATGGATGGGATGAGAATGATGCATATCCAAAAGCATCTTTTCTGTGTACAAAGTACGAAGAAATCAAATACAGAGATTCACATCTACCGTGTTTTGCTTTCGGCATTTCCCAATCGCTGCTGTGCTATCCGCTACACACCCCACTCCAAGGCTTAGTTTGACAATTCTCGCACTTAATGACGAAGCTCACGTTACTAAATTCTCATATCCTAGCAAAGCATGCATTGCAGCCGACCGGAAAAGTGGAGCAACACTTTCCGACACGGCCTTTCCATGGCAAGCACACACGACTCTGGGCTTCCGCGCATCGAGACCAAGCCAATACCGTTACTACACCTTCTATACCAGATCCAAGTCTCCGTATATCGGTATACGAACATTAAGACCCTCCTCCCCTCCCTACTGTACATTGTCGTCGTCGTCGCCAAGGATCCGAATCCGAATTTGCTACATTCAGATTGCGCCCGGTGACCGGTGATCGAACAATGGAAAGGGAAAGGAAAGGAAAGGTAGGATGAGATTGAGAGTGAGGTGGTCTTGGAACTTGGAAGAGATGGGAATGCAAGAGATGGGGAAAAGGAACATTGGCAAGAAAGAGGTGATTTGACAAGAAGTTTTGGAGGTTCTTCTCAGTCTTCTAATAACTAGTAACTTAACTCTCACAGCACGGATATCGAAGATATAGGGTATTTGCCTACCACCTATGCTCGGGCTCTTCTTCTACCCGTACGGTCTGGTATGTCTCTCGAGAAGTCTGGTAACTATCGAACCAGCTGACCTTCTCATCCTCTCCACGCTCCAGCTTCTCCTGGATCTCGTATTCCTGCTCCTGCCGCAGCGCCTGGAAATCACCATACTCTTCCTCGTCATCCGACACCGGCGCCATATCCTCGATGACGAAAGTTGAGCCTGTCGCCGGGCCAAATCCATAAGGAAACCACTTCGCGGCAGCCGCTTTCAACGCAGCCTTCTTCGCTCGAACTGCTTCTGGGAACACGCAGTCATCACCGTAGTCTGTCTGATAACGTGGCTTCAGCCTGTTGCGGAGTCCTTCCATCCTCTCAGGATTGGTCCTCATCTCCTCGAAATGCTTGCTGGCATCCAAAGCGCCGAAGTCGATGTGCAACACATAGCAGGGAATGATCTGGTCCTGGTCGAAAACGATGAACTCCGCCCCATTTGGAGACACGTGCGAGTGCGCTCCTTCGCGATACACACCTTCTGTTCGTCTTGTCTCTTCACGACCGACTTGAAGCGATCGGCCCATCAATGTCGCGCAGATCAACATCCGCATCCCAGGGATGTCTTTTGGCGAACGTACGTCGTACTGTCCCCGTGCATTGGCAGCGTAACAAGACGCAACTTCAATGGATGGGCTTGAGTATATTCCAATGCCGAAAGATGCGCCGCAACGAATGTCCAACTTGTCCAGACCAGACTTCTTCCCGCCAATCTCTTGGCCAGGAACCGTAAACCCATATCGCACAATTGAAGCCACTCTCGACAGTGGCGCGCCATGGAACGTGACATGTGGCTCCGACAGATACTCGGCAATGCCTTCCACCGAATCAACCACTCTGCCAGAGCGGATGTCCTTCCGCTTCACACACTCACGAAGCTGCGAGTGATTGAAAGTCGTCAATTCCTCCTTCATCGCTTGACGTCGGCGGAGAAACCGACCAACAAGATCCGCACGGAACACAGGCTCGACATGCACGACGCGAAAGTCTTCCGGCAATTCCTCCAAAATCTCCGAAACTGAACACCCGAGCACGAACTTGGCCGTGTCGTTCACAGTGAGAAGATCAACGCCGTGTTCATTTTCGAGGATTTGGCTCCAGTCCGTGAGCTTCGCAGCATCCCATCCCATCCCGGCCTGGCCTCTGACCTTGCGAGTGGGTCTGCGACTTTCTCTAAAGTCTTTCCGGTAGCCGACCGCAATCTCTGCCAATTGCAAGAGCATGATGCCGAAGTCGTGTGTGCTCCAGCAACACGGTGCCGTGAAGTCATCTAATCTTCTGCGCGAAAGCACGGCACTGTGCGCCAGTACTTCCAGCCTTCCGCCTTCCTTACGACAAAGCTCGACTTCCACGTCTTCCAAGTCAAACGTCCAGCGAACTTGACTACATCTCCAGAGGACTCCGAACGGGACATGCCGCTCCAGAAGATCGTTCAGCAGATCCGTGGCTGCGCTGGCATGGTCTAAGAATCTCGCGGGTCGAATGAATGATGTCTCTTCCTCTTCTTCATCACGGAAATGTTGGTCTTGGTCTTCGAAGGATGCAGACATAAAATCACTCATGCTGCATCTTTCTTTCGAACCAGATGCGTGCGAACTCTATATTGCTTGCTGTCGAGGAAGATGATGCCCAAAAAACGCCTTGGGATAATATTGCAGAAAGGAAAGGATGTCAGGACGTGTGAATGAAGACCAAGACTGGCATGTGAATCATGCTTTCGTGGCGGTGGCGTGCGGTGTCAGTGTACGGAGACGGTGACGGGTGGCTGCTCTGACACCTCACATAGCCGAAACTATATAAGCCACACAGCGCAGGCGATACGCGCAGCAAACAAATACTCATCGACAAAAGAGCTATAAGCTATCTTTGCGTTTGCTGTCGGTATCGATGAAACTTCTCGGAGTCACAATCTTGGGAGGAACTCGTTACGGTGGATGGAGTCGGTAAAAGCACTTCAAACATAGAAGTGATATCACGTTGCCCGGCAAGCCGATCTCCCTCGCCTATCAACTTGTTGACGGAAAGAAAGAAAGACAACCCTCACTCACATTCTCTGATGCCAAGTATCATACTTGGATGTCTTCCTGGCATGGCGGGTCTGATCGGCATCCTGACCATCGCCATCAAGCATCGCTTGGCCCTGACAGCTATGGCCTGGATGCAAACCGTTCTCGGCTCGCCTCTCATTCTGATCTGCTCGCTTCCAGAGATTCATATTGGTGGCCATACCGAGCGGACAACGGCCATGGGCATTTTCTTCGTCATGTACTGTGCTGGCAATATCGGATGTCCACACATGTTCTTGGACTCGGAAGTGCCACGTTGTCCCACGGCCATCAAAGGACTTCTTGGTGCGTATGCTGCGGTCGCTGTGCTCACTGCCATCTACTGGGCCATGTGCTGGACAAGCAACAAGCGACGTGCCATTTCCGGTACAGACTGTGAGCCGCAAATTACCGAGTCGTTACATTTCCCGGCAGGATAGCAGAGTCGTTATCGAGAGCCAGATACGGCAAATAGATGGAGGGAGGGTGTTTCGGGCCACTCATCTTCTGCAATAAACATTGCCAGCCCAGCCACTGACCTTGTCAGCGCGTTACATCCGATGAGATGTTCTGTTCTTCTGGCGATACCAACAAGTACCAGAAAAGCGTTGCTCGTCTTTTGGAGCCGCGGACGAGGATGAGATTTGGTTCTGTCAGATGTTTCGAGTCGCATTTTCCAGTAATACGAAGACGCGCGGCATCTTCTCAAGAGCATCATCAGAGTATTCTAGTAACGCTCCGTAGTACACCTCGATTAAGCGAGATGGCGGACGGGGGTAATCCCCGTAAACGGCAGCTAGCTTGAAAGCGTTAGACGTAAACTTTTTAAAGGTACGGATAATTCCTTTAGGCAGTACGCTAGCTTTGACTAGTTAGATCCCGTTTTCAGGGATCACCGCCGTCCGCCATCTCGCTTAATCGAGGTGTAGCTCCGTAGACAAGATCCCTGGATGCTGACTCAGGGGTAGCTAGTTGACAGAAAAGCTGAATTCAACCTAGGCGTAGAACTGTGGTATACTTGGCAACTTTCCGCGTTCCGCAGAACGGAATATCAGTGTTAGAGGATGCCGATACTGGTATGACTCCAAAGATGAGGATTCCAACCAAGAGGGTGCAAAGAGCAAAGTTGCCTTGGCGATCTGCGAACCGACTACCCTGGTATAGAATAATCCTAGCATGCTTTTGATGAAGGGTCAAAACAACTCTTTATACACGAGCTCGACAGATATACCCAGCAGCGAAGGTCTTTCGTCCGCATTCTGAGCGCTTGGCTGCCATCGTTGATGAGTATCGACAGTATCAACTCCGCACACTCTACCTCAATACCCAGTAGTAAGCAACAGCCTGGGCCTCAATTGGCATTGGTCATCGGAAGCAATAGTCGTGCAGCCGCAGCCGAACACCTGCCAACCCAAGGTATCGGGACGCGAGGCCATAGAATATCCTAGTACAAGCTCAACGTCTGTTTAGACTTCAGTTCTCCGATACGCCACATCGCTCTCGAGGATGGCGTATATCCTGGCGACATAACCATGCAAACTCAGCTAATGCTGGAATCACCGAGGCAGTGACGTCGAGCTTCAGCCTGTGATTGCGTGAACACCAACAGGCATAGCTTAGTGAAACAGATGAGGAGGAGGTGTTGGGAATACAAAGGAGGCAGCATCTCCTCAGGAAGAACCAGACATCACAACCGAGACCACGATCCTCAAGCTCACCTTCCGCTCGATCACCTGCCGAGCTTCCAACAAAGAAGCCACACCACAACCTCAAACCAACCCTCTCAAAATGCTTCTCCTCCAACCCGTCCAGCTCCTCCTCTTCTCGACCATAACCTCAGCCCTCACAGTCATCCCCCGCCAAAACAGCCAAGTCTACAACGACCTAACCTCAATCAACGGAAAAGTCCAATCCCTCACCGCCTCAGTCAATTCCTGGAATGGCGCAGACCTCGCCGGAGCCCTCCCAATCAACACCGCGGCCTCGGACCTCAAATCCGAGATCGATACCGCAACTGCAAATACACCTTCCTACCCAGAAATCAGCGACGCAGAAGCCGACGCGATATTGAATTTCATTGATTCGAACTTAAAACCTAGTGTGAAAGCCGCGGCGGATGCTGTGTCTGCGAAGGCGGGGAATTTCAAGGCGGTGGGAGTGGCGAGTATCGTGTCTTCGACGCTGGCGGATTTGAAGGCTTCGACGCAGGCGTATGGGAATGCTTTGATTGCGAAGGCGCCGAGTGGGGTTAAGAGTCAGGCTCAGACGGAGTTGGATACTATTGTGGGTTATATCACGGCTGCGCAGGGCAGTTTCTGATCTGCTGATCAAGCATTTATGCTCGGTCGATATTCATATGTGCCCTGGACATCCCTTTGGCGATTACAGAGTCTATCTTGAGCATCTCGACTGGGACCTTGTGGGAATGGCTGGCCAAAAGCAAAGTTGTAGGATAGCTGTATATGATGCAAAACCGATGCATAGCATTTCGTCCTGGCATGCAATTCGTTGATCAAGTACAGTCCTCAACCAAGTTGGATAACAAACTTTTGAAAGTATGCCGTGATAGCAGTACTCACTACCCCAAACGATACTATCTTTGCCCTTGAAGTTGTCTACCGGTTTCTTTGTTCTTTTATGATGGGCTTCAAACTTACCAATTCCGGACATCAGCTTCCGGCTACAAGTGACATTTCTTTCTTTGTCCACAAATTCCGGAAATCTAGACAACTAGGATCTTGGTTGAAGACTTTCCGATGTTCCACATTCGATTTGGCTTCGCATAAACCATGGCAACTGGCTCCGGTGAGCTCGCTGACGGTCACAGTCACCGAAAAAGTGGTCCCCGATCGTTCAGCATCTTTCGCAGATCTGGAAGGCGCCGCACCTCCAGCAAGTACGATGATACACCGAAAGTATCCTCTGAAGCTCATACAGGAACTTTTCACAGTGAAGGCGGCAAGAAGATCAACAGGCCAGATCCACTCATCCGAAGCTCAAGTGATCGTGTCAATGAGGACTGGATGGGCGCTGGTCACGATCCTCGGTCGGTTGGGTCGGCCAACAATACAAAGCCACTACCTGCCCAATCACAAGCGTCGCCAGTTCTGAACTTGTTCACTGGCTACAAGGGCGGCCGAAACGGAGCCCAGCAGGCATCGTGGCCAGGCAAACCCATATACGATCCGCAACGAGCGACTGTGAGGTGAACGCCGACAAAGAGATACCTGAGATACTGATGAACTCGTAGGAGATTCGACGACACAATAGTGGCAGCCAAACCAACTATAGCTGGCCTAGCTCGCGATCCACTTCTCCGGCTCTTCGAGATCGACAGACCACAGATTTCCAATCCAGCCATACGCAATCTGATGCCGCAATTCCTGCCATTCCAAGCCATGACAAGACTACGAGCGGCGAGAAGGAGAAGTGGACTCCGAGGGCATTACTCAAGGCTCGCGAGTTTGGCCAGTGGGACACGGCGTGGCAGCTGGAGAAGTCATTCGAAATACCGCACGAGAACGATGATAAGATTTCGCAGAAGCTACGAGACGAGATAGAGGCGGCGAGGACACCCAAGTCGAAGCAAACTTCCCCAAAGAATGAGCGTAAAGACATGATCAAAGCTGAAGAATTCCGAAAGTCCGAGGAAAGCGACAACTCCAGCTTGGCTTTGAAGTCCAGTGCCACGAATCAGACCTTCTCTTCGATCGAAAACTCCTTGGCCGATGACAAAGCACAGAGGAAGCCAGTGAAAGATACCGATAAGCTGCTCAAGCAGGCCTTAAAGAAGCGGAGCGTCATTCAAAAACTGGAAACCCGAGCGAAGGATGAGGGTCGCTCAGAGAACTGGACTGAATTGCAGGTTCTGGTGGCGAAGATCGATAAGGAGAAGACCGAGCTTCTCCAGTTGGAGGGCAGGATTGCTACTCTTCGCGGTGAACATCCAGCGGACGAGTTTCTCAAGACCGGGACGGCGCAAGAAGCGGGCAAGAGAGAATCCGTTTCGACAATGAAGTCCAAATCGGCGCCGGAGCCTGTCACTTTGGAGGCTTCTGCTTCTTCTCAATCCAAGTCCACAGGCCCCTCTTCTCGCAGTCCAGACGCGGTGATAGTCGCACCACAACCTCAACCCCCAGCGTCGAGCTCCGCGTTAGGTGATTCGATCTCGTCGGCAAGTGTTCAGGATGAAATGGCGAAGTCCGCAGAACCAAAGACGGCCAGTCCGCTTTCACCAACGTTTCCGGCGGGACATCCGCTTGTGGGCCAAGAGAAGACATTGATTCGAGACATTCTCGAATGCGAGCATCGGATCTCGGACTGGATCGGAGTCGTAGCGAAAGCTGTGACTAGCGAGGACGTTTTGCTGAAACAGAGAGCCTGGCAGTACAAGACGAACGAGATCCCACAGTTCAGCAAATATGTCGCACTGCGCCGCGAGGAACTGGCCAAGCTGAGGGCTCCCCAGCCGGAGCCAGTCGAAGATCCATTGGAGTCGCATGAGCCTACGCAGCTCTCCGACATAGAGGATGGGCCGGAGCACGCGATGGGCCCGAGATCTCCTCGTCCTCACGACAGTACGCTGGCCGATAGCAAAGCTGGGGAGGTGCCCAAAAACGGTACGGCAGACCCAAGCCACGACAAGAAGGATACAGTCCGCTGGCCACTGCTTGAAGAGAAAGAGGACTACGATCTCAAGAAGTTGCAGCCTCAAGGTCTACAAGCTTCGATGTGGACAGACCCGAATTCGCCATCCGATGAAAAGGATCGTTTGAACTCGTTGGATTGGGCGATGTTGCCAACCAAAGAGCAAATCATCGAAGTACCCGCAAAGGCAGCTGGCACCCCTGACACACCCGGTCTCTTCTCCATCGCCCCACGCCGGAGATCGAAGAACGTGACCGAAGAGGAGGCAGCACGTCTGAAAGAGGCCGCAGCAGTGAAAACACCACCTGCGCCCAGCTCTCCGCCCATTTTCTCTCCGGAGAAAGCAAGCTTTGCCAGCGGAGCCGAAGCCTCACCATCCGACAAGCTCCATCGACGCTCGAAATCCGTTTCCTCCGCCCTCCCTTCACCGGTTTCAGTCCACAGCACTCGCCGCCCATCATCCGGAACCTTCGCATCAGGCCAAGCGCCAAAATTCGTACACTCCAAAACCTCGCCCCTGGAACCACGTTTCTCCACCACCTCCGCCCAGCTGACCCGCGACCTGGACTACTCGTCTTTGGAAAAGTCTTATAACGATGTCCTCGAAAAATTGAAATCCCTCACCTCTGAACGGGAGTATTGGGAGCGAAAAGCTCGAGGTCTGGGCGATGCCGAGCATCAGAACTTGACCGAGCAGTTGTCCAAAACCAAGGCGGAGTTGTCGTTGACGCATGATCAGAGGGATTATTGGATGCGGATTGCGAATGATCGGGGGGAGGAGATTGAGGAGTTGAAGGGGAGGATTGCGAGTTTGGAGAAGGAGGTCTAGCTCACGCGGCGTCGTCTCGTTTCGAATTGCAGGGTTTCAGTCGGCGGATTGTGTATTTAGTTCCTTGCTGATCTTGCTGGAATGGAGCGTTGTGGTGTCTTGGACGGTGATTTCGACGGATATTCGGTAGGATCTCTTTTCATCTAGAGGGAAGGTGAAGTTTAGCCAGTGTCCGCGAAATATTGTAGCTCTATCATCGGAGCCAGAATCTAACAGCTGTGTTTGATCCGAAGAGCCTGGTGAGGCTCGTCCAGTTGAATTGTTGTTTCATGAACCTACCTTCCGGGTGCGTCACGCAGAGGTTGACAGTTCTGACAACACACTTATCGTCTCCAACGCCGCCCAGCACCTCCATGATCACGTCCGCCAGTTGTTCGACTGTTGGCTCGAAGCCCCTTTTCACCTCTATGCCTTCCCAAGCTCTCGCCAATTTTTCTTCGATATACACCGTCATCTGTTGTAACGCGCTCGAATCTGCCATTTTTGCAATATGCGGCGGAAAATGAAGGGAAGTGCTGGGTATGTGCTCTGATGGTGAGATGCTGTGGTGGAAGATGAAGGCAAGACAGGCGATGTGAACTTCAACTTCAGTTGCACGAGCCACCATCGTAGCTTCAGGACTTCAACGGTCGAACAGATCTATGCGCTAAGGCTGACAGCAGCTATCCACGACTATCAAGACTCCAGCATATCTTATTCGCTTCTTGGCTACGACTCAAGTTTTCCTATGTGCTGTGCTGGGCGGAAGCAATTGGAGACTTCAGACCTTGCTCTCACCTCTTCTACGTCGAAGTACTGATGGTCCGACGCTGTGGCCGCTTCCATTTTCGAATATACTCTAGGATGGAACTTCACCTGTGTCCTTCGCTCCGACTGCAATTCCAAGCGCTTCAATCGAGAAGTATTCTCAATGTCCCCTTCTCCATCTTTGAGACGACCGCCCCTGATCAAACAGGCCTCGGTGGAGATCAGACAGCCTTCTTTCTCATGCCACATGACCTTACGTGTCTCATAGCTGCGTGCTGACTGCATGTATCTCAGCCGAGTTTGCTACCAATGTTTGCGAACCCCCCTGATTGGAGCATTACAATGGAATCGGGTACGGCTGAGTCCTGCCTTCTTGAACATTTTGGTCCAAGTCCCTTCAGACACAGACGGTGCTTTTGGAATCACCAGACTGTGATATAAATTTCTTCTCTTCCAAGCACGGAATATTACGCCACGACTCTGGAGTCTAGGAAAGGAGGAAGCAGCTCTGATCTCCAGCATTACCTCCAGAGTTGCAGAGGCCGGAAAGGAAAGCTCATGTTGAGATTTTGATTAAAGATTATCACTGTGACCGTGACCACGACGCCAGTCACCTCTTTGATGACCAGCATGGAGTGGACGTCCTGCTCACGTGCGTCGGCAACCTCTTCCGAAAAAGAAAGTCTCCTTTACTCGTCAGGGAAAAAAGGTCTGACCTGTGATTGCCCAGGAGGTTTCGTATGGGTCAAGGCACACCACTTCCAAGATGCCACTGCATTCACGAGCCCGTGGAGCCTTTGTATATAGCCATTCCGCCACCTCAAACTCGGTCCAACAAATCTCCTTCGAAGCTCAACCTCCGGCGCAGTCTACAGCCTGCCGTACTTTCAAGAACCCTTCGCAGCCTACAACCTTCGAAAGCAACTATACAGCTTGCAGAGATAGAGCTGAAAGCCTGAACGACAGCTTGAATGATGACCGTCCTTCCCCCAAGCTACCTCAAGCCGCGCCTTGTGCTCATATACGAGCACGGCGTGTTGCCAAAGCAGACTTTCCTCCAGATCGGCCTTATTCCGATCGAGAGACCGATCCTAGACAGCGACGGCGAGATCAAGACTTGCTTTTGCGCCGACCCGCTCGACGCCAGCAACCCAGCCGTAAAGGATGAACCATTAAAGCGAACTTTCCTCGCGGCCTCGGACTGCGGACACGCACATGCCCGTGAATGTAGCATCACATGGTACAGCGACCACAGCCGCTGCCCATATTGTGGCGTAAACCATTACGACACAGACGGAGACATCAATCAAGCCCTCGAGGTCAGTCAAGACCTGTTCGACATGAAGCAAGGGTTCTACAACCTATACAGTTCTTCGAGCATGGTCTCCGACGAGAAGATCAGGCTGGAGGCTCCAAGACTGAGGCATAGTGTTTTCTTCTCTCAGCATACCATCTCCTCATCACAGCCTGCGATCCGACCAAGGGCGCACAGTACGGAACCTTTGGCATGGCTGCCTCTGGTGACGGACGCATAGAGGTTCAAGCACTCCTTGAAATTTTGGATCAAATCAATTTGAGTTCTAGATCGATTACGGTGCTGAGAGAACAAATTCCTTCGCGGGTCAAGGGCAGGTTTCCAGGGGTGAAGGAAATGCCTATTGAGACGTGGGTGGCTGTGCATGACTTCGCTACTGAGCTTACCTCGCTTGCACTTCATCATTACGCCGTGGGATGTGATATTGGTTGCTAAGGCATAGAGTCTCTTGAGATCTGAGTCGGATAATGGGAAATATTTGGGAAGTAGACGGATCTTGTGGAGTGGATCAGCCTCTAAGGCAACAATATAGGAGGGGCTTTGGAGCTGCTGGAGAGATTGGAAATGCTTCTTTGAACCCCTGTGGCATATTCTGGTAGATGGGATATGTATCAGTACTCTCACTTGTCGATAGCTTTGCAAAAGCCGGGTTTCATCCTCTGAATCGAGCAGAAACTCAAATGAGCGCCGGGTGAATACAAGAAACTGTGAACGAAGAGAAGCAGTTCAGCGAAAGCGCAGCCTTGTATAGTTGGAGCAGAATAAAATGTGCCGGGATCAAAATAACATTCCATGGTGCTCAGCGACGCTGTAACGATAACGGCATACTAAACCTTACTGTTTCCAGGCTCACTGATCCGTACAATTCTGTGAGCTAAATCATGAGCTTGGATGAAAAGCCTGTGATCGGACTGAAGGAACTCCGGACGCTTGACTTGACCACACTGTCTATCGGTACTTGTATACTTTTTCGGACACGCGAGATCTCGCGAAGCCTGCTGACAAGTCTCCCGACGCAAGTTCTCGATCTTGACTTTATAATTGTCACTCCGTCTACATCTCCCTCCGCTGTCTCTTAAGACACCGCATCCAAACTCAGTAGCGACTGGGAAAGGTAGGAGGAGGCCGCCGCTCACTGGAATTGCGGCTCTATTTCGATTGCAGGTGTTTCGTCTTACGCAAAGTAGACCTTTACTCTCCGTGGGGTGCTACCATAGGTTGAGAAGGAAGCGACATATACGACAGCACTCAGAAGCTTTAGGACTTAGCGAATCAATTCAAGTCTCAAGTTCAACACTATCTTTCAGCCTCCAAGTCCTGTCCCGACTTCAAGAATGGGCACTACGCCAAGAAACCTCATGCGCTACTCAGGCATCATCGCACTGCCTTCATCCTCAGCCCTCTCATCCCTAGTCGTGGATTCTGAAGTATGTTGCAACCATCAACGCTTCCAGTGAGCTGACCCGTCCGGCTCCCTCCGTTCTCGCTGCAACCACGCCGTTGGAAGAACAAACAGCATCTATGACCCAAGATCCTCATACTCTATCTCAGATATACCACTGCAAACTGCAGACGGCATGGCTACGGTCGTCAGTACACGTATACTGACTACGAAAATGGAAATGAATGGACATGAAATGCTCGTGTTGGACAGGAACACGCCAACTATCCTTGGATGGTCAATTCGATCCCGATGCTTGTACCTCAGGATTTCTGTGCTCAAACCGTGGGCCTAGTTGTCAGAAGTCAGAGTGATGGAATCGAGGAATAGGGATCGTAAGTCGAAGTACTAGAGTTGGAGATTCGGTATGCATGCATCAGAGGAGGTCGGTGGTTTTAGGATCGTTGAGTTCATGAAATTCTTTTGAACAGTGCTTCTTGTACAGGCTGAGCTTGCTTTCCCTGGTCCGATGAAGACCTATACCTTTGCGTTATGCCACTAATCTGCTAGACGAAGACGCCCGTGGCTTGAAGTCAACTATCACAGAGGACTGAAGCGGCGACGACTCTCCGACGCATGTTCCCCAGCACGTGGTCCAGAATACCCACGATGTCGATCACAGTCGGCCAGCGGATGTCTTCCACCTGCAGGGTCACGTCGCTAGGAAACAGGGTTGGTAGCGAATCATCCAGGTGCAATTCGCCCTTGGGGTCTTCACGGTGTTGGCGCTGGAAGATAGAGTAGTCTCGCGGTGCAAATAGCTCGCGATTGTCTCGATCAATAGGGAGAGGATCGGTAGAGGTAAAGATGAACTCGTTGGGATGCCTGGGGTGCGTAAGATTAACTTCATCTAGTGCCACTCTCCTGAATCGTCCCTCTCGCTTCAGGATTTGACGTCTAGCGGATGTGGCAATGGAGAAATAGAAGTAGTTCTCCCTCAAGCGAGAAAGAGCAGCAGTCGAGTCAGCTCCGAAACGAAGACTTCATTGTGCACTGCCCGACTTACCTCAAGGAGCTCGATCCGCGTTATCCTTCAGAGCCGTAACAAAACCAGCCGGCTAATTTATCGCCACCTTCCCTTCGAGACTTCATCAGGCCGTCATTGTCCTAGACTCGCCACGGGATGCGTGGTCAGTGTCTGCAAGCGGAGTCAGCCAGCAAAGGTGAACCACGCAAGTGACCATGGATGAGAGAAGAGGCAGCTCTTTCGTAGCAACTCCAACAACCCTCATCCATTTCCCACTACCAAAAGCTCACCTAACCGCACCGCCAGCATCGCCCTGCAGAGTTGTCCCTTTACAAAAACCCTCCATTCATCGGCACCTTGCCAGAGTCCTCACTCCCCTGCATCTTTTCAAATTGCTCTCTCGCCTCTTTCATCCACATCTGCCGCCATTTGCCGTCCCAGCCACCGTAGTAGTGAAATTGGTAGAGCTCAGGGGTTGGGTAGCGGGTGACGTTGAAGATCAGGCGGCTCTCGAGGAAGATGCGGTAGCCGGGGAAGGTGGTGTCGTCGGGGCCTTGGTAGGGTTTCATTGTGTTTCTTTGGTGGTGTTGTGCGCGGTGTTGGAGGGTGGTGGCGAAGCGTGATGGCGGGGGCAGCGATGCGATGCTGATGGTGTGAAGAAGGCGGGAATGCGGAGGGGGCGTGTTGCAAGTGCGCTGAAGAAGGGGACGACAGTGCTGTGATGGCGCGATGGTGTTGTGTGCGTGCGCGTGTGTGTCTGGTGATGGTGTTGTCGTTGCAGCAAGCTCTCATCTTTCGAAGGCTCAGCACCGCAACCACGGCCATCGACCACGACAACGAATTCTCTTCTCCCGCTGCCAGCCACAGGCCAACAAGATGATGAAAAGATCAAAGGCGGCGACCTCGGTGCCCAACCGGCGACCCCAAAGGGCGCGGCTGAATCACCTCAAGCGGTCGCCTCATCAAAAAGTATGCGCACCTCGCCCGTAGGCTGGGACACCGTCATCAGTCTCCGGAGTGCAATGCAGCTGACGACGGTGAGTCGGAGTCATTCATGAGCGACTCTGCTGTGAAGGGGTCAGTCGAAGCGTGGTGTGTTGTGGTCGAGTTTGTACGTACCTCGCGCCTGGTTGCCGGAGCCGAAGAAGAAAAGGAGAGAGTTGCGAAGAGAACTTCGAGCTGTTTTGTTCTCGCCTGAGCTTGGACCAACGGAGCTCGGCAACACCCTCAGGCAGCCATTGGCCTTTTCAACGGTTGCAGGGTCCTCTGCGGCTACTGGAGCGTTAGGCAAGAAGTGCTGGGTCTATTGAGCATTCAACAAGAAGCAATGAGGACGCGTACGGAGGATAGTATCGATAGAAGGGAGTGCTGGGAAGCTGTGAGGCTGGTCTTCGCTCGCTGTAATCACTGGGCATCGTAGTCTCTGCCTGACTCGAGAGAACCGGAACAGACAATCGATACATTCCTCAGAAGCGCCTCCATGGCGTCTGATCGCTTCCTTCAATCCAGCAAATGTCTCAAGTCTCGTCACGTCTTTCCCAATCGGCAGCTCTGTCCGTGTCGTAGAAGTCTCGCTGCTGTCGTTACTCATATCAGGACCAAACAGCTGTAACTTTTGTAATAGCACCTGGTATGTATCCGGTTTGGCTCTCTCCGTGGGGACAGCGGATATACAACAACCATCGCACAGCTCCGAGTGCACGGCTGACTCCCCTGTTACTATTCTGTTCCTGCGCGAACTCATTCAGGGGAAGCAAGTGTTTTGCGCAGTCGGGCCCCTGCTGATATCCATTGCCTGCTCCAACTCTGAGGACAACCTCTGCTCTCCGTGTCTGATCATACCGTTGCTCTCTTGTGTAGTATTGGTTCATTTCCTGTTGAAGTCCGCACCTCCGTTCCTCGAACAAGAAGCTCAGGGAGCTCGTTCTCGTTCTCGCTACGCCTTGGCAACAGCGCTAGGCGGCCGCACCCGTGGCCACGCCGCCCCTGGTTTCCGCAAACTCTTCGCCGCTTTCTTCCCTTCTTTCTTCGCCACTTCTTCCTTCGTTTTTCCATCGAGTATTCAGAACTCGAGAGCCCAGAGTACTCGCACACCGTCGCCCACGGCTATAACACTGCCCCCATCTGCTTCTTCATAGCACTCGGGGTCCTTGTTGCGGCCGAGATCAAAGTCCTTCGGACGGTTGCTGCGCTGCTCTGGGCTCAGGAGCGACATGACAAACTTCACGCCCCTCTTGTCCAGTCGTGGTCTAACCTGTCGTTGATACCATCGCAAACACTCCATGATGGCAGATAGCAGGTTTTTCTTTTAGGCAGAGACCTACATTTACTTTGCATCTGTCGCGCGCATATGGCGTTTGCCAGGAGAAGAGGAACGAAGGGACCCAGCATCAGCGCGTCGTGCTAGAGTAGCAATATGGTCGCCTCATTCCCCATCGCGCTACTGAAGAGCGGCAAGCATGACAGGCGCTTCCAGCGGTGGAAAGCTTCGGCTCGTACATCAAAAGAACCGACCCTACCAGGAGCATTCCATGCACCAACGAATCGCTCACAGCCATCTCGCCAGTCGAGAGCACATTGCTTGAGTACTGAATTCCTCTCACGAGCGGTCTCGGCCAGCTTTATGGCCAGTCTCTCTGCACCAGATGATATCAGTGCATCTTTGAGCACCGCAGCGACGGCCAGCCCACTTGGCAAGGGCGAGTAGCTCTCCGCTGAGATACAGAACACGGAAGAATAAGGCGGTGCCCACGCAGCTTGAGGATAGAGCAAGACTTCATCGATAGCATACCAGTCGTGGACAGGCGCAACACGCCCCTTCCACTATCGGACCTGTCACTGATATTGTACCTGCTCACTCTCCTTGCGTCTGCATTGAAAACTCCTTCACGCCGCTGAACCAGATTGAAAGCAGAGCGATAAGAGAGGTAGAGGTAGACGGCAGAAGGTGCATATGTGGTAGAAGGAGCCACTATGAAGAGCCTGAGAAGGAGGTAGAAAGCAAGCATCGCATCCAAACTTCTCGCATGTGAGTAGAATGGCAGCAAGGACCCATAAAGCACCACCAACCCCTCGCCCTCCTTTTCAACCCTCTTCCATCCCTCCCCCTACACCCCCATCCCTGCTTCCGTCCCTACCGATTCTCATACCCCATCCCCTTCCGCTTCCTCTTCCACGCCTCTTCATCCTCCGCCTCGCCAGCCGGCTTCCACTCCGCATCCGGATTGTACTGGATGGAATTCTCATTATGCTTGACGCCACCCCAGCCCCTGCCCTGCAGATTCATGGCGTACTCGTCACGGCTCTTCTTCAAGGCTTTGGTGTACTCCTTGCCGCGACCCCCGAAAATCACGTCTTCTTCGTCTTTTGGTGGGGAGTCATTCTCCTTAGCCTTGTTGCTTGAAGGTTGGACGTGCTGTTCTTTGTTATGCTGGCTTTGTTGAGATGTCTCCTTTGTCTTCGTGTCTTCTTCTGAATCTTGAACTTGCTCTTCTCTGCCACGCGGAGCTTGGCGCTCTTTGACGAAGGCTTCGTAGAGTGGCTGCTGCCAGGACTTGTCGCTCATCTCGGCGCGAGTGATGAAGGATGAGTGATGCTGTGGGGGAGGGTGATGGATCGTGAAGAAATCGTGAAGTTGTGCCATGGTCTGCTTGCTAGGCGGTTTGTGGAACAAGGTGGTTTGTGTTGTGTGGAAGTTCCAAGTTTGCAGCAGGAGAAGCGCGTTCATGCCAAGAGCTTTGTTCAAGGCTGGTAAAGATTGAATGCTCGTTCATGCCAAGACTATTGTTCGAACATTGTGACAAAGCCTACAGCATTCCATGCCAACATCGTTTATCGCCAGGTGTTGCAGGTCTTTGTGAGCTCTTTCGTTCCTCACCATATCATGACTCGTTGTAATAGACTGCTCCACGCTGACACAGGGTTGACTCTGTGTGCATACTTCAAAGCCCGACAGGCGAGTTGAGTTGGGTTCGATCCCCGGTGCACACGCTCAGTGTCCTGCTTCTTTCAGCTCTTGCTTTCCAACAGAGACCGATCTCGCCATTGAGGCCATTGAGATCTTCCATGCGGCGAAAACAAAAAGATAGCTGTTTCATACTGAACACTGGGTGTCGTAATCATTCAAAAAGGAGGCGCAAAAGGAGACTCGACCATATCAAATTAAATAGGTCTGAAGAGCAAAACAATCAACCACTCAAGCCCGGACGCATGAGTGGCTGTTGAAACCCAGACGGTGTTTCTTTTAGCTTCCAAATCCTAGAGCGGATGCTCTGTTGTGTGCCATTTTGCCATTTGCCATTTGCCGTCGCCAGCCAGGATTGTGATGAGGGGAATACATACCTCAGAACGAATTCTGAATTGGCCACGGAGGCTTGTGATCTCGGAGATCTTATTGGTTATGGACTGGTGTTTTGAGTGCGTACATAATGCTCAATCAGCTCGTCCTTCCGTTGACAGCGAGGTTTCGTGCGTTTGGCCACATACAGTCTTTGTATTCGGTCAAACTTTAGACAAATATGGTGCAATGGAGCTCTGCAAGTTTGAAGCGATTGCAATGGTGTGTTGTTGAGTTATTTGAGGTATGGTCTTCGACGTTGCTGTGTTTGATGAGGCGGAAGTCTTGGCCCCTGAAGCCGTGGCGAGCGTAGCTCAAGCCAAAGCGATGCCCACAGCTTCTTCCAGCTCTTATTGCAAACAGGGCTGATTGCCAAGACATACACCATCACGACGAGAGCGACTCGAGCGAGCTCAGCAAGCATACTGATTTGCGCCATGGACCTGGGCAAGGGCAGTGGTAACCAAAGGCTCAGGGCAAGGGACGTACTGAAAGCCGACTCGCAGGAGCCGAACAACTACAGCTGGCGCAAACGAAGACAACCAGCGCAAAAGGATAACTCAATCCACCATGGATCGCTCGTAAACCGCTCAACGCGTAAGCATCGCACAGCATACACATTGCGACTACGGACCGAGAACACGGTTCACGAAAAGCTCCACCACTCGCCACCCTGTAGCAATGCGCTTTGCCTGAAGGCTCGACAGTCGAGGCCTGTTCTGCAATTGCCACACCGTCAAAGCCGCCTGCGAAACACCAAAACAGACCTTACATACCGGCGGAGCACGGACGCGAGAGTGCGCGATTGAAGTGGGCCTTCACAAATGCCTCATGACCGCTAGATCCTGCGCAGCGATGGAATACCACGATGACCGACTCGAATGGGGCTGAAGGTCGTGATGGCATGGAAGACGAGGTGCTGCTGTCGCACATCTTACGTATTGACTGGAACATTTGGCCGAAGAAAGACACAACTTGGACGGGAGCAGCATGTCAGCATGGCCGAGGAACATGGAAAGAGGCTTTGGTCTATGGGCTGATGTCGCAATATGGTTACAAGGGGCTGGTTCGGTTCCCGAAAAGCTGTTAAAGCGGCAAGGCACCGCCGGGGGAGGATACAGCTCGCAAGACTATGCGTCACTGGCCGGCAAGGCACTCGTGTTGAGCCTTGGCACATAGCAAACCGTGCCTGGGATCGTAAGCTTGGGATAAGAGGACTTCTCGCTTTCAGCGTACGACCACTTCATCCGTCGGTAGCTCAAAATCGCAGCCAAGTCCTCATGCGCAGAGAGGATTTGGAACACAGAGTCCGAATGAAGCTGTCCTGAGACCTCGCCACAACATGGAATCCAACAACCAAGGCCGCCGAGTCCTTTCGTCGATTTTCTTTTTCGATAGCACACGCCTCCGCTCACACTTATTCTTCCACGATTGACGCATCCCGGCCTTTCTCCGATCTACCACCCATACATTCAGCCAGCAATGTTCTGCCGAGACCAAGTTGCAAAGCGTTGCCGCACCCTGAGATGCGGCAGGAGGAGCAATACCTTAGAGGCCAGGACCGATCTGAATGGAGCTGAGGCAACTTTCGACGGAGCAACACGAATTCTGCAAGATGAGACTATTGAATGGGCAGAGAAAGAGCTTGAGGCCGTTGATCAACGAGCATGGGTTCGACATGCTGAAGCTGGACCGCGTACTTGGCATTACTCGCGGATCGATCAGCACTTTGGTGCAAGCGACAGAAGAGTTTGGGGGAAATCCAACTGACCTTCCAGAATCAATGTTCGCATCGACACGGACTCATATCATACTCAATCGTCACCCTGGGCTTTCGATCACTTTCCTGTCCGTCACGAAGCAGCGACCTAGCGACGAAGACTTCACCATTCCTATTCTGAACTCGGGCCTCCGCTTCTTCTTCGACTGCTTGCGCTCACAGGAACGAGACCCAACCGGGCCGGATGGCGAGAACATACTATGGTGAGCGAAAGAGCTGAGGAAAACACCCGCAACAAGTTTGGCATGGGAGACGACCAGCCGAAGATAAGCGACTTCATGGCCGCGGTCACCAAGACCATTCATGATTTCAAGCTCGAATCGAAAGGCGGGAGGTCAGGCCGCCAAAGCCAGATATTGCCGGGCAGGTGGGAAGAGTGGGAGATTCCGTGGCCGAGTAGCTTCTTGGGCGTGCTGAGGAGAACAATTCCGGAATCGAAACAGTAAAGATACTGCAAGAGAGTTTGGCGCTGACCAGGGACGCAGGATTTGGGGGCCGATTCTTCGCAACTTCATTGGATCTTTCAAGCAAGTCCACTGCCCGATTCAGTAAATTGCCAAGGGTTATGCTTGCGGGACGGACGGACTTTCGGGAACATTGTGCCTAAAACAAACAGCATCGATACGGAACATAATCGAGTATCAACACTAGGATTTCGAGGACGCCATCACTTCCCAGGCAACATTATGGCAACTCAAGACCTTCGCAAGCGACGAAGAGTCCGCTCAGAAAATGGACTTTCCAGTGGCGTTTGTTAGCACGATGCTTTCCAATAGGTGATTGAAGTGTTGGTCGGAGTGGACACAGCAGGAGCTAATGTTATGACAGCGGCAAAAACATGATCGCCGAAAATCCCTACAGGATTGGATGAGCCGAAGTGGAACGAAGAAAAGTACATGGAGAGTCTTGAAAGAGACGTCGAGGATGCTTTCACGCTTGAAGATGTCAATTCTCCAATCTTCTACCGGCCTATGCATACATGGAAACAGAAGGCCGCACATGCTACGATCTGGCAAGAGCGCTGAGCTCCTCCAGATCACCACAAAGGCCTCTTCAGCTGGACACCGCTCGTGGTCTCACAATTTCCTCCTTTATGCTTTGTCATTACCCTAGCCGATCCAGGTTTCCCAATGCCGCTATCCTTTGTCCTTCATTCCTTCAAGACCCCATTGTCTCATCCGGATTCCAATCCTTCGCTCCATGAACAAACTTGTCGCATTGCTCAATGAGCTCCTGGACGGCGGACCGGATCGCGACATTACCAGGCGCTTTACCAATCGACTCATCGATCTGGCCAGGCACTCCGGTACGACGGTTCAATCGGTCTGGATGCCACTTGACACTCTCCATCTTAAGTGTCTTGCGAAGCGCGACTACCGTGGTTGCCGAATTCTTCTTCTGCAATTCGAAGTCAACGCTGGTTGGGTCGTCCGAAAATGTGATGAGTGTAGTCCGAATCGCAAACGCATCCGTGAAGAACCGCTTTGTCATGACCCCAATGACCGTTGCCGGAGACCATTGTGCGACTTTCTGCTGATTGTATGGCAGTTCCTGGCGGTTCTGAAAGCTGGGCATGCTGAAAGTCGAGTTTGGGCATGGGAACTGCTTATCGTGTGGCGCAAGGGACTTCCAGTGTGCATCGTACTCGGCGAGACGTGATTTGTGGTCCACCTTCGGAGCTGGCCGCGGTGGTGGCGGCATTTGGGCCTGTGGCGAGCTCTGAGGATTGTTCTTGTCCCACCATCCTCCAGCAGTTGTCCCGTTCTGCTGAGAACCGTTGAGTCCGGACGTTCGCTCCGACCAGATTCCGCCTGCCTTGCTGCTTGATGACTGAGACGCCTGGCTGAAATCGAACATCCTCGGCGTAGACGTGGATGAACCTGAAGCAACTCCAGGCTGGCTGGCAGGGACACCGCCCTGCTGCCATCTTGTGAAGTCTGGCGGAGGATCTGCGGATGGCCAAGCGGGCATGCGGAGATCGATTGAGAACCACTCCCGCACGCCTTCAGTCGCCATGAAATGGTCGTCGTCGTAGCTGAATCGCTCCATCTCATCTTCTGCCGCCTTTAGTGCTGCATGCTCCTGCATACCACTTGAGATACTCTTGCACGCTTGCGCAAAACACTCCATCCCTCGAGATGATGTTTCTGCAGCAGTTGTAGGTGCATGATTCAGGTGGCCGAGAAGCTTGCTGGCCTGCTCATACTTCCACTTCAGCTTCGCAAGCCCGACCTGCTCTTGATTCAGAGTGTAGGTCGTCCAGCTACGCGCTTCGTCATGCGCTCGCTGATAGACGGCCGCCAAGTCCGAGAACCATGGTATAGCAACCGGGAACATCTCCTGCCGGAAGTCCCTCGACTGCTTGACAAGAGTCTGCAGAATATCAAAAGAGCCATCTTCCTCGCGGCAGTACTGTGAGATGCGTCCTTCGAAGATTGCAGCAGCGCAGAATGTCTCCCAAGAAGTACCAGCTTTCAGATTGCGGCGGCGGTGCAACGGTAGAGCTGCATATTGTCCCTCGAGGAGACGATACTTATTGACGAGCTCGTCCGCTCGCTGGCGAAGCTCTTCAGCGGAGTTCTTGACTTTCACCATTTAGGTTGTACATTGGGCTATAATCGGTTGGTTTTTGCGCTGTGGCTCTTGAAATGAGGCCGTTGGTTGTCTTTGATCCGTGTAATACGTGTTCAGAGCTTTCGAGTGCAAGCAGTGGTCAGTGTATCGGATCAAGACGACAGAAGCTGGAGAGAGGCTATGAAATGTCCGCAAGATGCCAGTGAAGTACAGATCTGCCTGATCCCCAGCCAATTCACTTTCACACAAGTGACAGGCTTGCCAAGACCCACGGGAGGTAGGAAGAGGACAAAGCTTTGTGAAAACGTGATCACCAAGGTTTCGGCCTCAGTATTGCATTGATAGTTTGCACATCATGTGCGGCCGAGAAATGGATGGCTCTAGGCCTACTCTTTCTTGCATCGACCGCTCACTGGGCAGGTATTCCACATTTGTTCTTTCCAGTTCTATAGATCATCAGGAATCTCATCGTGCTGGCGACCTGAACTGCATAGGCCATCATTTGTCGCCCAGGACACCACGCTGCCAGAGTTGAGACAGAGAGCGGCAACATCGATCAACGGGCAGGCCTCGGAGACAGCTTTGTTCACAGAGCACCATAAGGTGGCTTCACTCCGGCTCCAATCTAGATGTCGGTCGTGTCATTCTCCCCAGCTTGACAGGAGTAGAGGAAGCAGTCATGGACATCGCAGGCCGTATACTGGGATCCAGTTTTTCGGCGTGGCCTTGATGGGCTCGCCTATCCTTGACGAAAAAGCTCGGGGTATCGTGAGCTGCGCAGAAAGTCGTGTGCGATTCAAGCGGTAGTTGAAAACAGGACATCGCGTTCTTACTGATGCAGACACCAAGGTCCGCCGTGTCGTCCAGTGTGCCAGAGGCGATGAACTTATAGTCATCGCAAGACGCTCTATACTTCGTGCTATGGCCCTCGTTTTCACCAAATGAATGCGCAGTGAGCGTCGTGGTGTCGTACTGAGACTTCCACCTTCTGTTAATGCAGGTGTTGACTTTGAATGGTCGAAAAGCACATCGAGAACCATCGCTGATAAAATCTTGTTGCGCAGTGTAATACAAGCCCTGAGCGTCAGGAGCTGCATGGAATAATGTAGTCTCTATACGTTTCGATGATTGAAAGTATGTCCTCGTGCATGACGAATGTAACGTTTCATGTCGGGGATGCCACTCGGCAGTGCGCGGTGCTGGGATAAATGTCCAAAATAAGTCCTATGGTTGCAATGTTCAGCATGAGAAGAGAAGCCGCTCCGAAGCTTGCTTCTCGGTATACTTGGTGTGAGAGTTTTGATTCCAATGAGACAAGTTTGCTGGAATCTCCAAGCAATCAATTGTGAGTACCACGGGCCAAAGTCAGGGGTGGGCGCCTTGCCAGTCAGATGCCCAAATGCTGAAGTGCCCAATCACCCTGGTATATTGGTGGAGAGATATAGAGGTCGCCGGGGGAGATTCAGGGCGGCGTTATTAGACCACATAGCATGTGCTCGATGTCTGAATGTATTCCTGTAGATAACCAGTTCTCATTGATCTCCTTTGTCTAGCCACTTTCAGCCGAAGCAAGAACTCTTGACCGAAGAGAACAATGGCGAACCATCACGTCTTTGATGAAAACCGTGTCTTGACCTGAGCACCTTGTCAACGTGATTCGGATCAGACCATGGACGCGTAGGAAAGGACTCGTGATGGAAGTCGCGCTGTAAATAAGCAATGCTGGAGAGAGTCTTCGTGCAGTAATCCTGAGATACCTCTGCTTGAGCTCCTACCGTAGTTATAGGCAAAGATGACAATGGTAGCATAGATGTAAAGCGATGGGAGAGCGCACTCACGGCGTGTGAAGCCGCTTCGATCACATACATAGATCCACATATCCTTGCTTCAGGCGGGTGGAATTTGCGCAAGGTCATGGCTGTCCATTGAAAATGGATGATACTTTGCAAAGCAAGAGTCAGTTGTGGGTGGATGTGATTTGTGTAATATCGGCAGTCGATGTCCACCTCGTTTGCCCTGTCCCAGCTCCAGCGCCACCGCATTTCTCGTTCTCTTAGACTCGAGTTCCATTCTTCAGTCCATCTCAACCTCACGAACCTCCTCTGCCTCCTCTGCCTCCTCCGCTTCCTCCAGCATACCCAGCAAAGCCCCCTCCGTCTCCACCGCCATCTCAAACACAGTCCGATGAATGAAGCATTCCATAGCAAGATGCGGAAGATAGAGCCTTGTCCGCTTAAACATCCACTCCACCAACGCCGAACTCAACCTCCCTCCAATCACCGGCCCCCTGATCACCGTCTTCCACTGCACGGGCGCGCCAATAGTAATACATGGCGACTTCCGGTTCTCAAAAGGCTGAGTCTGCTCGGCAGCAATTCTCAAATTTGCGACTTCGCGCAAGATATGTTGTTCGAGGAGGGAGGCGTCGCCGTTGCGATTGATGTACGTGGCGATGTTGGCGAGCCATTCGGCGAAGAGGCGAAGCGTGGTTCTTGGCGATACGAGGTTGAGCTTCTCCAGATATTCTACTTCGAGGGCGCGGGCGGTGGCCATGTGCTCGTCGACGATTCTCTTGCAGCCGACCAGGGCTTTGATGTGGTGTGTTTCGTCGGGGCTGAGGGGCGGCTGCTTGACTTCTAGGCCCAGAGCCTGTTTGGCGAACTCGAAATTGGGGGTACGGATGGGAGGCATAGTTGCGACTTTGGATGTTGCGCGTGGTTGTTGAAATCGTGGTTCGAGTCGGAGATGTATTATTTGTTGACTGGACAGGGGTGAAGGCAGGGATCTTGGCGGGACGATCCGCTTTCACATGCGCTTGGCACGACTCGAGTGTGGATCAAGCCTCATGTAGTATTAACAATGGATGCGAGGTATATGGTGAATCACTACTTGTAGTAACTCGACTGGCCAGGCAGTTGTCTCAAAAATGTTCATGGTGCGTTAGACTACGGAAAAGTGCACAGCATGCTTGCTTCAGGTGATACTAAGGAACTTGGGCTTGGCTACTCAATTTGCGAACGCGATAGTATTTTCTCTCGTAGGCTGTCGCTCTTCCTATGAAGCCCTGCCCCCTTAAATCACGCCCACAAACCATGTGTGTCATGCATACGTGAGTATTTCACCCGGCGAACGTAGTTGATCGCGCTTAGGCGCCGATGGTGCCTCAAAAATCAACGTCTAGGTCCACAGCATGGATCGCCCGATCCACCACCTTTGCAGCGGTCATCTCCTGGCTTTGCTCTCCCTTCGCGACCATCAGCCCAGTCAAGTCGCTCTGTTGTGCCCTGGCTTCCTGACGAGCTGCTTGCGCATCTTCAGACTCATACCAGACGATGGATCTCTTGATGCCTGGGATCTTGTGCATCTCGACCACGAGTCTCTCCATCTCCTCCTCAATAGTCGTGTACCTGTTCTGGCAGTTTGGAGACATGTAGCCGGATCGGAATAGAGAGCGAGTCGCCCCCTGCACACCGTAGTAGCTACTTCCAAGGTCGCACAGCATGACTCTTAGCGAGATCAAGGATGGGAAATGTTGCTTGATATGAGCAATACCATTGATCGCAGCGTAGAGGTCGACAGGGTAGAGTGCCTGGAACGTCTGCTGGAGGGTGATCTTGAGATTGATGTGAAAGATCTTGTCGGTGCAGTGACGCAGCTTACGTGGAATGGGGGTTCGAGTGGGTTGAGCTCTGGTGGGAAATGTCGCCGCGAATTGGTGGATGGTATGCTTGGGAAGCATCTTAGCGCACTCGATGTCCATCTCTTGGAGCACTGCCTGCACTTGTGCTGGTGACTCTTCTGCCATGGAGGACATGTAGGCCTGATCTTTGAGTCTCTTCATGAGGAATCCGGCCATCGCTGAGCACATCCCAGGGAAGTCAATTGATCCATCGGCCTGGACATTTCTTCTGATGCCAAACGAGTCCGGAATGTAGAGGCGGGCTGCTCCGGGCCACATCGTGAATAGGGCCATGTCATGGGAGTGTAAGTACGCTTCAAGAATCTTTAGTCGCAGCTCAGAGGGGAGCTTAGAGCAGACCCCCTTGATAACGCCATTGATTCGTGTTTGAGCCTCAGCGGTCTCAGTCGTCAGGCGGTCGTACTCGGATTTGGAGATGGCTCTTGGTGCCATAGTGGCGTCGTGGACGTAGCTATGAAGTTCGAGACTGTCGAAGCTTGGGAACCTCGTTGGAGGCATGGCCGTGGTTGTTTCGATGTGTAGGTCAACACTTTCTCGATTGTGTTGGATTTCGCGCTGTCCGCCAGTGGGGATCAGTTGAGATGTGGATTCTGTGTCAGCAGAAATGGTTGCGGAGTGGATACTTTGTGAGGTGTGGGAACAAGGGGTGACATGGAAATACGGACTGTTAAATACTACAGCTCACGCGATTCACTCGCAAAGGAGCAAGTGAGTTTTCAAGGTGGGTCTGCGGCGGTCTATCAATTGCGTTGGCAGTGAATGTCTCCACTTCGATGATGAATGTATTGTTGTCACATTTTGGTGAAGTGTTGACAATGGGTTTCCAGGCACTGCAAAGCACCCCGAATATGCGCCGGCTGGCCCGTGCTCGGCATCATATGAAACGCCTGGGCACAGCAAACGGCAGCATTGAGCACGCAAATCCAAGCATAAAACTGCAGTCTACAGCTGACCTCCGCTTTTCAAGTTCTTTTCTTTTCTCCTTCATAATCTAGCGGCCCCGTGGGTGGCAGTCGCTCACGAATGACTGCCTTTACGTCCTTCTCAGAGGCGAGGGCGACCACATAACTTTTGCTGGCATACAAACAACTTTTTCATCATGTCGCTGCCGTCCGCAGTGGTTTGGAGAAGAAGGTCAACCGCGACACCTATGCTACACCACCTTGATATGTAACGAACTCTTGATGAAGATCACGCCTGTCCCCTTTCTCCCCTTCCTCCTTGGAACACCACCTTGATATGTAACGAACTCTTGATGAAGATCACGCCTGTCCCCTTTCTCCCCCTTCCTCCTTGGCCTGTCCCCATAATCCTGATGAATGCGCGGTTTTTCGCATATGCGCCGTTCCTGTTGTTTCTGGCGCCACTTCTCAAAAGTGCAAACCGCGGCGCCAAATCTTCCCTACGTGACACCTACGGCTGCCCGAGTAGCACCAGGAACAGCTGCGAGTCGGTGATGGTCAGTGGATGCTCACGAAGAGCTACGGTAGGTTTCGGGAGACTGACACTGCGAGCATACCCATCCCCTGAGTACACGAGCTGTAAAGGCGCGACTACTTGGAACGGAGATGCTGACCGAGGAGCTGACAGCCACAGCTTGTACAACATCCGTCATAGACGATTCCTACGGCTTCGAGCCACCGAGAGATGATGGCAACGGGTCTGCAATGCAGAAAGGATCCTCAGTATACAGCAGCGGCGCACCGAAACGCGATCGCCCAAGCCAACCTCGGTGAGATCGACAGAGCCCTTATACGACAAGGCCAGAGTGCCAGGGGTACCACCGCTTCAGATCAACAACCTTCTCAACCAGCGAGCTATTTGCGAGCATACCTCTTCTTCTCCTGGTGGCATTTGGGATGCGAGGCACGCAGGCAAGATTCTCACCAACAACCGAGCGTGGACTCGCGGCCCCCTTTTGGCGACTACGTGACGAATACGCTGTGAGGCAGAGCGAAACTGCGCTCGATCACTGGGACTACACTCGGGGGAAGAAGGATGGAGAGCAACAAGTCACCTTGCTATCTCACTCTAACAATCAGGATCAGAGCACAGAGACATGGTTGGAATTTGGCAATTGCAGCCATGACCAAGGGGCGGAGCGTAAAAGGAGACGACGGCGAGGTATCCGGATGATTTTGAAAGAGAGGGATGTGTAGATCTGGTGGGATACGTCTGTTAGAAGAAACTGGAATGCGAGGAGCTTCGGCCGGAGAAAGAGTGGGAGCGAGGATGAGAGGGTGATGGCGATATGCAAGGACAACATCACCGTCCAAAGACGCGTGACGCCGTCTCATTGTATTTTCCACATGCTCATTCATACCCAGTTCTATGCCAGCAGCTGAATCCATCAATCGCTATTAGCAAAATCCAACAACACCGATATTCCCAATCCTCCTGGGACAGCTGCCACTGCCACTGCACCTCAGCCGCTCACAAATGCAATCAAACCAACCCAAACGCCCCTCCTCGTCCCCATCCATTTCACATTACACCCCAACCTTAACACCGCCCCTCCACTTCCCCTCCTCCCCTCTCAAAATTCCCTCCCCAAACAACCCCTCCACAACCCCCTTCACAGCCCTCACCTCCCCCTCACCTCCAAGACAAACCATCTCCTCCCAAACAAGCACAAGACTCTCCAACGCCCTCAAATTCCCCGAAATCTGTTTATCCTAACGCGGAAGAGTTCCCATCCCAGCGGCATCGAGCGCGTGGTCGAAAACTTCTTGGCCCAGCATGGAATAGCCGAGATCACGGATTTGGCGCGCGGCGTAGTATTCCGAGGTGCGGCGGAAGTGGGTGATGGCGGTGAGGAGGTTTGTTTGGAGCATGAGGCCGGGTGGGGGCATGGTTGGGATGGGGAGGCCTGGTGGCGGAGGTGGTGGTGGGTTTTGGATGGAGGAGGTGGTGGTGGTTTGCTGTTCGCTTGGTAGCCAGGCGGAATCAAAGAAGTCGAGGTCGTCGTTTGCGTTTGTGTCTTGTGTGGTGGTGTAGTAGTCCATGGTGTCTTGCTTCGGCTTCGGAGTCTCTTGCTTCTCGCCTCGAAGGTCTGCGAGTCCGGTGCGGACGAGGTTGAGGATGTCTTCTTGCGACATGGCGATAATTGTGGTTTAGAGAGTGGGTTTGTATTGCTGGTATTCCTGACCGAGAAGTATGGTGTTGCTTGGGAGGCTAGGTCTCGAGGGCTGTTGAGGTGTTTGAGGAGACGCAGAAAGCGCAGATTTTGAAGTTAAAATCTACGTTCCCAGTGAAAGTGAACAGTCTCGCGGTGCTGCTGACGCATGGCTTCAGATTTCACAATGCTTTGTATCTTAGAGTTGAAAGGCGGCCCCTTTGTATCGGCTTTGTAGCGGAGAAGCATTAGGAAAAGACAAAGGCTATAACGATTAGCGATACTCTTGTGGTACTTTGGCATGGACGAACTATCTGCATGGCCGTGTATCTTGCCCTTAGCTTGTTAACGCTCGCATGCCCGTCGAAAGTGTATGCAGTCTTTCCAAGCATGCAGTCGTAGGTAAGAGTAAGTCAATCACAATCTCCTGTCTAGTAAGGCCCCCGACCACAAGCCCTGAAGACTTTCAACTGCGATTTCAAAGCATCCGCGCCATTTCTTCAGTCATCGGAGCCATGGCATACTGCTCCTCCTCCAATTTCCATCTCTCCAGAATCTCAGTGACGTTGACTCGATTCTGTACCATTTCGAGGGTAGTCTCATTGATGCTGGCGGTGTCAGGAGGTTCGTGCACTGACATCTTCCCCCCCAAAAGTGGCGGTTGCACCAGTGGATCTTCAATGACTCCAACAGACCAGTCATCCCCGGTCTTTACGAGCAGATAATTGGCGTAAGACCACCAGACAAGACTTTCTGGATTCTTAATGGCATCCAGATCATCCCAAGAGAGCCAAGGAAATCTGTTCGAACCTTTAGCCCCGGGGCTTCAAACGGGCGGACATCACTTACCTTCCGTGATCATCGGTCGCGCGGTCGAATAATGCAACATTCAGCATGTCATTCGCTCCAATGCCATTTTTACCGGTAGCGTACCAGGCTCTGACATTCCATGGCCACCTAGGTGGCGTCAGCAGTGCGAATTCTCGTCGAAATTTTGTTACTCACTGTGGATGTACGAAGCCATTTTGATCGATAATCGGCCTTCGACGCTCTGCGTCTGGTGAGTTCTGCCCGCCTAGCGCGAGGTGAACAATCTCGTGGTAAGGAATCAAGCAATTGGGCCTCATCTGCTGGAGTCGCTTTCCAACGTGCTGGGGGCGGAGATCGAGTTCATCCACGCTATTGGGGATCAGTTGAGGATTACCTCCGCAGAGTATGATATGACCATGGCTCCTGGCCGGATAGACCAAACCTGGATTCGCAAAACTATCATCAAACACGCGTGCCACGAGGGTTTTCTTCATACAAGGGTGCGTACTACCTGTCCCTTCATCGACGGGCCAAGGCGACCTGGCGTTGCGAGTTTCCGGCGAGGCATCACGATCCTCAAGCCAATACTTGCTGTCTTTTGTCCCGCCCTCGGGCGTTGGGTACTCGGTGTGAACAGTGGAGTGAAAATACCAGTAGCGATCTGCCGTAGTCAGTACCCTTTCACAAACGCTCCATACTTGAAACGTACCGAAGTTCTGCCCTCGGCCATGCATTCTCTCATGCTCTCCCAGTGTTACAAAGCCTCGGGATGGATCATGTGAGTCTCTGAGTACTTTGTTTCCCATAGCATCAAGAAGCGGCGAATCTTCGAATTGCTGGTACCAATAGCCTCCTCCACAGAACAGCTTGGCTTTGTAGTTAGCATTGCCTGGAGTATTCACAAAGTCCCAAAAGATCCGCATGTTTTTTCGAACTTCCCGCAATCGGAAGCCGTCGATTGAGTTCGAATATGGAACTCGGTCCCATCCTTGACTGTCAACACGGGGTGCGATGCCTAGAAGGGCGAGAAGCAGCTTCCGCGTCCTGCTGCTACCTTCGTAGCTTGGCGTGTCCAGTGCAACTACGGCTTGCGCATGCATAGACAGGATTTGCCACCACCACTTGTTCAAATGTGTATTTGGGTCATTCGGGTAGTAGTAAGCATTGCAGCCTCCGTTGACGATGTAACCAGGCTGAATGTCGAAGACATCGCCGATGCGGAGCAGTGCGTTTGCGAAGCCGGCTGAATATACCAGAATACTGAAGATGAGTGTCCGGATCTGCATCGTGTATGCGGGACTGCGAGTGCGCAGGCCAAGTACTGTGTGTGATTCAGATGTCGGTGTGTGATGGTTCTTGAAAGAACTGAGTTCTTGGAAGATGGACAAGAGATGCAAGCATTGATCGAGATGTTCATTGATCTTGTCAGCTTGCATGTGAGTGACACATCCGAGGAACGAGTCACATGTGCCTGCTCAGTCGAAGCTCGAGAGGTGCATGTGATGCAGACTTCAATGAGGTTTCGTGTCTTATTGGGTGCGGTACCAACATCGAATGCAGAATAGAGAACGGTGTCCATTTCATCAGATACTTACCCTCGATTGGCGTAGACAGATGCGATGGGGGTTTCAAGGTCAGGCAGCAGCGAGGTGCAGGAGTAGAACGGGTGATAAAGTCCTTCCGAGATGTTCTTCGTTGCCATTGATGTGGCCCGATCTGGCGTCAAGTGTCTTCTCAATCCCATCCTGGCCGAAGGTAGCTCAAATTCTCCTGTAGAAAAGATACCAGAAAGGCCTTTTCGCTCCATCTTTTGGCATGCCTGGCAAGTTCGACCCCAATCCGTCATGAGGACAACTCAGCACCGGCACCGGGAGCAGATGCAAGCGCAGCACTCGCCAGAGAGGAAGCCATGTGGCCAATACATCAACGGATGGCACACCTTCGAAGCGCCTGTAGGACGAAAACGTTTGTGTTCTGGATCACCATACATCTCGCTGATGAGAAATGAGGCAGCACCACATCTTCATCGCGCCGACGTCCCGTTGGTCTAGAAGAAAGGCAGCAGCCGCACGCCATCGCACATTGTACAAGTACAGCGCACGTCACGGACCGCGCCCTCATCTCCACGCGAGGCCATCCCCAGCGCATTCGTCACTCTGCATACCTGTTCCGGATCCAGCAAGGATATGAGTTTCAGAACAAACGCCGCATTTGCACTGATTCCAAGCTTTCGGACACCGCTCTCGAGAAGCGCTCGGGCTCGGTCGATGGTCTCGTGTTGAGGCAGGACTGGCGGTGGAATGTCGAAGTGATGTCAATGGACCGAGTGTGTTACATTGCCATCACGCAGGGTGGCTGGTTCCCACACATCGACACACTGCTAGCTTCGAATGTCTTCGTTCGGACTATCTCGGACGGTGGCTGGCGAGCCCATCCGGCTGACGTGGGAGACGTGCTGGCGAACGCAGACGTCGGAGCTTATCGTAGTGCCCCGTGCGACAGGCGTGATCGGCCATGCTCAGCGTGGGCATCCGCAGCGTGATCAACCCAGTATCACACGTGTAGAGCAAATGAATTGGCGGACGGAGCGAGCAGGAATAGCAGCCTGACCTGCTGATCTTGGGATGCCGGCAAATGGGTACCGAGCGGGTGTGGCGGTTGCAGGAAAGCTTCGACGACGGCAGATTCTCAGATTCAACAGTGACGTCGAAGAGCAGGTCCGGCCATGATCGTGGACTATGCAAATCATCAAAAGGAACGGGTTGATGTGGCGGGGAGGCATTGGGCAGCGGCGCGTCGGCCTCAGGTTCCACGGCCAGGATCTTCCCTCCGATATGGCCGAATGACAGCCTCACTTGCATGGGTACCTCGACAACATCCAGTCCAGAACTGCATCTGCTCCCTTAAAGCGTGGAGATGTGGGTATGGAAAAGCGCGCATCATCTCTTGCTCCGCTTCGGCTCTTGACGTGTATAAGGAGATGCATCTGCGCGGTCATGAATCAGTTTCTTACTTTGCTCGCGCGTCACATTTCTCGTGTCTGCTTGCTCTTTTCCCCGGTTCGACCGTCGAACGATCCTTGATTGCATTGGGGAGGTGTTGAGGAGGTCGCTCTTGTCCAGCCATGTCGAGGCCGAACGACGCTTCTGTGAGGTACATACCACCTCAGTACCAAAATTATAACTACAACGAGCAGCTGTCACGGTACGGGGTGTGCAGTCCGAATCTGACACATTGTCCACTCACAGGTTCGATAGAATACCGTCGCGTCGCTCGTCACGCAGTCCATCTCCACGTCGCTCCGGGGATCGAGACAGGAATGGGAGACGTCGACGATACTCCAGTCGTTCCAGATCACGGTCTCGATCGCCACCTTCACGATCGCGAAGAGACTCCAGAGTGAGCTTCGAACCCACTCCGGTGAAAGAACCGAAGGCATGGTACAAGAAAAAGACGCTTTGGGCATCTCTGGCCAGCGTTGCATCAATTGCCGCCCTAGTGCCCATCGCCTACTCCGCTCATGGCAGTTTGAGCTCAGCAAAGGGCTCGAATCGCAGTGCCGACGCCTCCCATCGAGCGGCCGATGCCGTAGAGAAGTCTTCTAAGGCGGCTATCAGGAGTGCCGATGCTGCTGAGCACAGTGCAGAAGCTTCCGAGAAGGCTGCCGTTGCTGCGCTACGAAGTGCAAGTGCGGTGGAGAAGTCCTCAAAAGCTACCGTCCTTACTGCCATGGCTAATGGCCACATGGACGCCGAAGGAAACTACATTCCGCCAGCCAAGCCGAAGGCCATCCAAGCGCCCATCCGAGATCAGAGGTTGTTGGATTATGAGCCATTGAGGAAGGTATTCAATGCGGCAGATATGGTGACGGGGCACGCAAAGGCGCGGTGACTCTCCAGTGATGGCGGTGAGGTCAATGGAGAGCCAGACACGCTGTCCCGATCGGTGGACATTGATGACCAGCATATCATGAGGTGGCTTCTGGGCGTTCCGCATACGCATTGATCGATGCCTCATTGCTTTTCTTTTCGTCCAGCGTTCCTGCATCGGTGATGTGCTCGGAGAAAAGCCTATCGAGATATGTCTCCATAAGACAATGATGACCGAAACGATGACTTGTGTATGCTCTCCCTGCGCTTGTACTCCAAACGTTGGGTCATAAATCCAACACTCATTTCGAGATTCTTCGTGTTCCAAATACAGTCCCGGCCCTGTATGAAGGTAAACTCAGCAGAGGTCTTCAGACCGCCCACACTCTTCATATTCGAGCTGTCCTGTATACACTGCGTCTGCGTCTGCGTCTATGCAGCGCCACTTGCGCGCCGGCCACGCACTTCTGGGGAGAGCTGGAGGGATCTTGGTGCATAAGTCGGCGGTAGAGAATATCGCCATCGGCACCGGAGTGCAGAGTTGGCGGGCGGGATCTCGTAGAACGCGTCGGGGCGAAGGCGGCGGCTCGTGGGGAGAGGAGGGTACGGCGGCCCCTGCATGATCATATGGCCGTCTTGTTCCAAAACTCAGCTCGTGATACGTAGTGGCATGTGCATCTTGGCGGCCGACTGTTGTCGTGTGTTGACGCTTCGTAGAGTGGGAGAGCGATGCAAGGAAGGGAGACTCGAACCATGTTTTGACGCTAACCCAAATGTGGCATCGCTGACAAGGATTGATGGCGTTGCTCGAAGGGCTTGGCATAATCTCTCTTTCGCGCATTCAATTCAACTTCGACTTTAAATCTCTTTCCAAGTCCACCATCTGCACTTCTCCCCGACTCTTACGGCGGCAGGGCTAGGCAAAACATCACCTCACCTCGTGACACAGCCGTTTGTTGTGGAACCTACCCGAACTTTTACTCCAGCTTCAGCTGTTCTGGTGATCAACTTTCCCATATAGCGACCGCAATACAACGACAACCATTTCCAATCAGTCAAACTGTGATCCATGATCGCATTTTGGTGTGCTCTGCATTGTGCCACTTTGTCAGACAAAATTCCCCTCAGCTCAGGATAAAGCGAACTTGTGCAGGCATGGTCAGCTTTGGCTTCTAACAGCGTCTTTGATCGCATGGATGGTGCCGCGAGAGGATTCCAAGTTCCTATGGATACACGATGCGAGGCTAAACAGGTGCCGTAGCACGCGCATATGTTCGAGCCTACCGAAAACTATCTACGCCAGCCAGATGACCGTGATTCCCCCAGCCAGTGGCTGAAAAGTGCTGCAACCACGGGCGTAGTTGATGCGAGGAGTCAAGAGCCCAAATTGGCGTGGCGGAGGCCGGACAGGAACATTTGGGGAGTCGTACAGCCGGAGAGGATCATGGCGCAAGTGTTAGACGGCTTTGAACATTGACAGCAAGGCCGGCAAATGCAACCTACATCGCGAAAATCCGTTTGCGAGGCATCCGTCTCCAACGCAAGGCTTGGACAAGACCGATGGTGAGCTGCTTAGAGGTAAAGAAGTGACCCAGAAGCACACCCGCCAGGCTGAATGAGGAGGGCATTGCGTGACGCTGAGTCAAGGTTTGTGACAGATCTGGGGTGCATCGAGCGATTGACATCTGATCGCAAACACGATGGCGTCTCGACTTTTCGATGTTTCAACGAGAGTCTGACTGACGTGAACGATATGCTTTGAGGCGTAGCAGGATACTGTCGCAGTCAGGCTCTATGGCGCTTAGTTGCGATCGAGGTTGTCGAAGTCTGGTTCGAAAATGCTGAAACCCGCCTAAGGTCATACGATCGTGAACCCGAAGCTTGGCAACACGAGTCAGAGCCTCCCGGGATTCATAATAAATATCGGTCACCATGTGGCAGAGCATTTCCTGCATACAGGAGCACGACAACAATTCTTGGAGGACCGCCAGAGAAGCACGAAAAGTTGCAAGACTTCCAATCCTCGAGATGTTACCAGATACCCAAGAACACAGCAGCGAGTCCGTGCAGGATCTTTTCAAGACGATCATCGACCTTCTCCGCCAGTCATCACCAGTGCCAGAGCTCAGAGTGCCCAGCCGAAGCCCTTCAAATCCACCAAGGCTGTCGGTAGAGGCAAGCAGCAGTCGAAAAGCATCACCGAGTCCAAACGGCAGAAAGCGTTATTATACACTCATATTGGAAGGGAGTCGGCATGAGGATGCACAGCCTCCACGAAGCATTCCAGAAAGAAGCCCGCTCAGGCTTGTGGCAAACGGGCCACGAAATGGTCGATCGGGAAAGGCAATGTTAGTGAATGAAAACGCTCTGCATGACGGAGAACGGGGCGGAGGGTCTGAGGAGCAGTGATCCGTACACGATGGGCTTTTGTATTCCAGGAGTTGCGGAAATGGTCAAGGAGCGGAGGGATTTGAGGGGCGGCTAGCCAGTGCGCATGTCAGACGATGTCTGAGAACATAGGCTCCAGGATAACAGCACATCCGCAGCTGCAATCGACATTGCTTGGCCGGATTTGGATCTGCTATTGGCATTCGTTGGACCTGAGGCTTCCGCTGCATTCGCGCCGGCATTGCCAATGGCGGCGTCTGCGCGGTACGGGTGAGATGGTATGCCGCGGGCCAGCAGTGAGTCTACGGTATCGGGAGTCAAGCGAGTCTTTATTGCACAGCGGCACGAAATATCGTGCGTTGTATGAAAGGATCGCTGGAGAGCAGAATTCTAGCCCTTCATCCATCTCGGCTCACCTTCCTCGCTCTGACTGTGCCAAGCCTTCCTAAAATAGGTCCCCTGATCCCTCTGCCCTTCCTCCGCCATTACTCTGTACTCCTTCTCCCCTTCATCACTTTTGCAAGAACAACACCACCTTTTATTAATCGAATCGATTCGCTCGCCGTAACATGTCACGATCCCAGCTTCATCGCTTGACTTGACTCGAAACACCATCGCCATCTCAGATCGATCCACCTGATCCCGGCGTCAATCAATGCTCTCACAGACTCACAGCCGCTTCATCGAATCATCAACCACATATCTACATGGTGTATGCTCTGGCTCATTGGGACTGGCGAGGCACACACTCCTGCTATGGCGCTTTTCAGGTCTCCGCTTGAAATCAGTACATGGCCGACTTTGCTTCTCTGCATTCCGTACAGCTCGCGTACGCCAGTATCGAGTCGGAAAAGGCGTTGACAGGCCTGACGTCTTCTCAATCATTGCCGCATGCACAATACTGACTACATGTAAAGTAGTCCACTCGAGAAGTTGCCGTGATTGACCTATCCCGGCGTGCCTACAAGCCTGCCTGGCACAGCACTTTGCAGGCGAGAGAAAAATCCCGCCGCTGCACATCCAAGCTGCATGAGATTTCCGTCATTTCTGAGTCTTGAGAAATTCCGTGCAAATTTTCGAGGCCCCCAGGTCAGAGCTCGCTGGGCAATCTCCGCCGCTATAATTCCTTTCTTAAAACATGCATGCGACGACTGTTCGACATGAATCGGTTTCAAGAATCTTAGCAATTGGCTTTTGTCACAGCCACACATTCTCTGACCATCTGCAGCATCTACAGCTCTTTCCTGCTGACATCATTCGTCCAAAGGGTCAATAGATGCAAATTGATATCGCAGCTGAGTAGCGAGATGAAGGTGTAGGTGGATCCGGTCAATCAACCTTCAGCCCTCTAAGATGACTGATGTAAACCCAGAGCGACCCCATCGCAAGCAAAAACCTCCACCGATTCCGCTCCTGCGTCTCGCTCAAGAGAATCAGCGAAGATACAGGATGAAGAAGTCCAGTCTAGTCGATCTCAAGCACAAAATCAGCGCCAATACCCTCGAGAGTGCGGACAAGGACACAAAGACCTATCGAGACATTCGACCAGAGGATAAAGAAGCATACGATTCCCAAAATGAGTTCCTCGCGGGCTCGCCGAGGAACTTGCATGGCGTCCAATGGGTGCTTGTAGTCAGCAGCTTGATATCCCTCTCATTCATGCTCGGCCTAGACACCACAATCACGCCCGTCACCCAGGCATCATTCACGAACAGCTTTCAAAGCGTCAACCTGCTTGGCTTCAGCAGTGCGGCTTTCTTCCTCGGTGCCGCCACGACTGTTTTGACGTGGTAAGCGGACGTCCAGGGCCATTCGGAGGATCACACCAAGCTGATTACTTCACAGGAGTCAATTATACGGAGTTTTCGATGTCAAATGGACGCTAGTCATCTCAATTATCGTCTTCGAAGTTGGCAGCATCATCTCAGGCGCCGCACCGAACATCAATGCTCTCGTCACCGGACGAGCTTTCTCAGGCGTTGGCGGCAGTGGCATGGCACTTGGGGTATGGTCAATGCTATCTTTGACGACAACGGAACAGGAGGCACCGTTCTACATGAGGCTCCCAAATCTGGCGTGGGGCATTGGTATCATTCTTGGTCCAATCATCGGAGGTGCCTTTGCACAAGGGAGTGCAACCTGGCGATGGGGTGTAAGTACAAATTTGCGCCTTATGCTCAATACGATGCTGGATGGGATATTAACATGGTCGCAGTACTACATTCAACTCTGCGTCGGCGCCATGGTTGCCGGATTGCTGGCGCTGCTGCTCCCATCAAAGCGTTCGCAACCAAGGACGGGCTTTCGAGATGGCATTACCAGTATTGATCACATCGGAACGCTGTTGATGATCTCTTCCCTCCTGTGTTTCGTCCTTGCGATCAACTTTGGAGGGCTAAGCTATGCCTGGAACTCCGGCTCAGTCATCGCTCTCTTCGTGCTTGCAGGCCTTTCCAGTATCACCTTTGTCCCGCAGCAAGTTTTCGGCTGTCTGACGCACAACACAATTCTTCCCATCGCGATACTAAAGGAGGCGAAGATCTGGACAATGTTTCTGCTGCAAGCGTGCTCAGCCACGGCATTCTTCGTGGCCTGTTACTTCATTCCGCTACAGTGAGTCAAGCCATCACACATTCTACCGCCAACCCTAATCAGTATTGCAGCTTTCAATACGTAAAGGACGAAACTCCTCTGGAGGCTGGCGTACACCTACTCCCGCTCGTGATTCCGACTTTTGCCGCTGCTATGATCAGCAATCAGCTGACCAGGAGAAATGCACTCCTCGAGCCCTGCCTACTGGTTGGAGGGTCACTGGTACTAATTGGCAGCTCATTGATGTACGGCGTGGATGCTTACACCGAGAGCTCGAAGATCTACGGCTACAGTATCCTCATCGGCTCTGGTGCCGGACTATTCGTCGACACTCCCCTACTTGCTTGTCAACAGCTCGTCAGTCCAGTCTTCGTGCCTTCTGCAATGGCGCTGATGGCCTTTGCTCGAATTGCGGCGCCAGCGATAGCACTCAGCATTGGTTTCGCGGTGTTTTTGAACAATGCGCAAGCCGAGATACAGAGTATGCTTCCCAACGACCGATCTTACCATGCAACAAGCATGTTCGGAGGCGACGCCAGGCAGTATCTTGGAGGGTTAGACGTCAGAACAAGACATCAGATCATGCGTGCTATCGCAGATACCCTGGCCGAGCCATACGCTCTGGTGATTGCCAGCGGAGTTATCGCTCTCACGTCGGCAGGCTTCCTCTTCTGGACAAGACTCAATGTTCGTGCGAGGCAGTAATACAGAAAGTACCGAGGTTTGAGACAGCTCTCAGACATCGTCCAATTACAATGCTGTTGCTCACAATGTAGGGATGCTATTCTTTGACCATTGTTACAGACCTGAGACATTGCAACAAAGCCTCTCAACGCCACCAACGGCTGGCGTTCGGCCCATCATCCGAACAAAGCGAGAAATGGATCATCTGCCGCCATCGACGACATCACCTCAGTCCCCGACAATCTCAACGGCAACACCACCTGAAGCGTTGATGTAATGCTCGACCTCGCCGACAGAGATGCCACCTCGCAGCGGCCAATCGCCATCAACCTCTTCAGATGAGGAACACGGACATCAAAGCAACAGCTATGCACTCAAAGACTACTCCCGAAGGTGGAGCGGAAGAGCATGTATCGATATTTCAACCTGGTGTCCAACCAGCGATGGATCAAGCAGACTACCATTCACCCCGATCGCAGAGCACACGTTCATTGCCTCCACTCAACTCAATGCTCCTCTATCTTCGTAGACCCGCACTTCTACCATGGGGCTTCTCGACAACATCGTGTACTTCATAGGCCAAAAATGGTTTCCACGCCCCCAACGCACGCGCATCAAGCCGATGGAAGTGCTCTGCCTTGGCTTCTCGCGCACAGGTACAGAGTCGCTTTGCAACGCCCTCAGGACTCTGGGCTACAACGGTGTCTACCATGGGTACACCGAGCACGGCCAATCCGGCGACTGGGCGATGTGGAACAAGGCGTGCATGGCAAAGTTCCGTGGAGTCGGCAAGTTCGATACCGAAGACTGGGACGATCTACTGGGCGACTATCAAGTTGTGTCGGATATGCCTTGTATATTGTTTGCTAGGGAGTTAATCGAGGTAAGGTGACAACTTTCATCTACCATGACCATGATGCTTGTGATTGATCATCTCATGCTTATATCACAGCTAGGCCTACCCTAACGCCAAAGTCATTCTCTCCACCCGATCCTTCCACTCCTGGCACCGAAGCATCACATCCGTAACCCCACCGCCTTCAGCTCGATACCTGACTTACTTCCTCTCCTGGTTCCACCCCGCCACCCTCGTCCAAGTCTACACGTCCGCATTTCTCGTCGTGTGCCAGAAAATGCCAAGCTGGTCGAGAACCTCCATGAAAGCCGCTTACGAGGAGCATAATGCTTTGATTCGAGGTTTAGTCCCAAAGGAGAGGTTGTTGGAGTTTCATGTGAGCAAAGGTTGGGAACCGCTTTGTGAGTTTCTTGGGAAGCCTGTGCCGGACGGGGTGCCCATGCCGTGTGGAAACGGTGGGGAGGAGTTCAAGGGACGGCATGCCAAGTTGTGGATGCGGGAGTTTTGGCCGGCGATTAGGAATTTTCTCGTTGTGTTGACGTTTCTTTTGGCTTTTATTGTTTATGTGGTGTTTGGGTGGTGGCTTTGAGGTGGATGGAATACAGAACGAGGTTCAAATTCAGATCAAACATACATGGTTACAATGTTTGCCTCCCAAGTCAAAACCAGAGGGCGCAGTTTTTGTCTCTGTCATAGAACTATGCGTAGGGCAACTTGAGTGTCAAACATTACCGTAAAAACACCCGTCGCAAACATCTCTGTTTCAGACAAAGACCTACTTGTCTCTGTGCCTACGATGCTGGCCTTGGGAATCAATTGATAAGCTCCAGCCCGGCCCGAGCAATAGACCTGTGCTCTCTCACTGGTATTGGTATATTCTGAAGCTTGCATGTGACTCAGCATTTTCGTATTCACGTGCGCGCCTCACAGCACTGAACACGTGAAGCGTGGAGTGAAGTGAATGAGGTGAATTCGTTCACAAGCGTGCCCGAAATGACAATGCATTCACATGCGAATGCAAAAGCTCACCTGGCATTTCCTATATATAAGATTTTCTCCGACCTCTTCGACTCTTTCTTCTACACCCCACTGAAGCCACACAAGTTGCCTTCACGATCAGCATCCATCACGATATACCATCGGTACCATCCAGTACTACACATTTCGGCTACGATTCGAATCAACAATAGCAGCGCATCAAAATTGCTAGCACCGTCTCATCACCATCACCATAAACAACATACCAGTCGCCACCATGAACGCTTTCTTCTCCTTCATCGATCGCGTCGTCGACGAGCAAGCCGAGCTCGTCGTCAACCAGCTCAGCATCCCAGATCTGAAGAGAATCGACGTCAAGATACTATCGCGAAAGCTCACCAAAGCAGAGCTTCTGCAAATCGTCAAGAAGAACGCAACCCACGCCATCTTGCGATTCATCGAGGCGGCGAAGCGCAAAGAGATCGCGGAGCTCGCAGCAAAGAAGTTGGAGAGCAGAGGCACTGTATTTCAACGCGATGACCATCACGGCGGGAACTACGCCTCCCTAAAAATCGACATCGATCTCGACTCTAACGAGGCCATGCTCGAAAAGGGCCTCTCTGTCGTCTCGAAAGACTGGAAATCCACGATCTCGCTCGGCAACATTGCAGAACAGCTCAAGGACAACATCAAGGCTCTCGGCGCTCTGGAGAGACTTGACGTCAAAGGCAGGCTGGCGCACGTCAATGGCGCAATGTCGATTTACATCAGGGAGAGTCGCAAGGCTCGAATTCTGGAGTGGGTTAAGTGGCGCTTGGAAGTGGTTGTAGCTACCGAGGCGGAGAGTACCACCGATGAAAAAGTCGAAGGGACAGAAGGAGAACAGGAGCTTCCAGGGGTCAAGGCCATCGCTGTCGAAGAAGCTAGGGCGGCCGAAGGAGAAGTCGAGGGGACTGAGTCTACGGACAAATTGGGCAATGAAGCAGTGGGTGAAATACGCATTGAGTATCAGGGTTGGGACAACTGTACCATCTCCTGAGCATCGCCAAAGCTGAGCCCTCAGAAGCGCAACTAGCGGGAGGAAAGCAGGGAACAAGGCTGGAGAGAAAGCTGCTTGTGCTACTCTTCCTTCGAGTCTTCGGCTGGCTACAAGATCCTCGCGAAGCCCACCTTCCTCTGCTTATCGACCTGATGCAGGAGGAGTTTCAGATGTACTTCTGGGACATGCGCAAGTTGCCCAAGAACAAGCAGGAGGGTCGCGACGCCCTTCAGCTTCATGGTGTCAGCAACCAGATCATTCGTCAGCACCCTGTACTAGATAAGATACGCAATGCAAAGACTCCACTCCCATCTCTCTATCGCCTCCTCTCTATCCCCTTCTCCTAAATACCGCCAAAACTAGGCCTCCCAAAGCACAACCAGAGGAAGGAAAGCACGAACAAGGCTCGAGACGAAGCTGCTGTTCCCACTACCTAAGATACGCAATGGAAAGACTCAATCACCATCTCTTTCTTCTCATCTCTTAAGGACCACCAAAGCTGAGCCCGCGGAGGCGTAACCGTAGGGAGGAAGGCAGCGAATAAGGCTCGAGACGAAGCTGCTGTTCCCACTACTTAAGGTGAACAATGAAAAGACTCTATGCCCATCTCTCTATCCCCGTCTCCTGAACACACCGTCAGCTAAGCCTCCAAAAGCGCAACTAGAAGCAGCAGCGGAGAAGGCTTGAGAGGAAGCGCGTAAGTTTGTGACTTTCTGAGATACGCAATGAATTCCCCAACTTCCCAATGATCCATGTGTGCCTTCCCTCCTATGCATAGATAGAGCGTCCAACCAGAACTTGTGGGAAAGTAGAGATTTCGGGCGTTACAAGCTACCACATTCGTCGATGAAGCAAGCCATGGACGAGCATCCCATTAACGTTCAAGGCTAGGACAGATATAATGATCTCCTAGAGACAGCGTCAGCTAAGCCCTCGGGAGCGCAACTAGGAGGAGCAGCGAAAAAGGCTGGAGGGGAAGCGGCTTTTGTCTTTGTTACTGCCCAAGAGTAACACACAATTTAAAACTCAATCTCCTCCGGAATGCAGAGCTGTTAGATTCAGCTTTTATCAAGGGTGAGTGCTTCCGTGAAGGCCGAAGGGGAGGTATAAGGAGAATAAGCAAGGTGGGAAGAAGGAGACCAGGACGTCGGAGTTTTTGGATCCTCTCCTCTCTCCCTGCTATATATTCGGCTGGCTTGCATCGTGGTTCATTGGCTTCTGCGTTCTGGCTCTGATCGGTGGTTGATTATGAAGGCAAGAGTTATAACAATCACGTCTCTCGAGGTCGTGACCAAGGGATTCACGCCGGAACACTAGGCGGGATCCCGCCGTTGCTTCCAGATGATTGGAAGCATGCTGCCAGATAGGAATGGAGTCCTTTGCGGATGTACTGCGGAATTTGTTTCCACCAAGGCTTGTTCTTTTTCTTCGCTTGCTCCTCCTGGTCGAGGTGCTCGTCTTCCATATTCTTGTAGTGGTGGGAATCAGTAAGGTAAGTGAAAGCGCAGAAGTAGAGGTTGTTGTCCAGATCCGGCCAGTGCGCACGGCTTCAATCTGATGGATTCGTGCAATCAGATATTTTTGCCGACGAACGCTGCTCAGCAACGACGTGAGTTATTACAGTGGATCAAACTTGAATCATCACAGCACTTGAATGAAGAGACCTCAAAAGCCAAGGCAGGAAAGCTCTTGCTCACGACGCGCGAGGTGTCAGGTGGTATACTTTTGGCAATATTGATTGTGCGACCACTGTCGGCAGACACGGGGCTGGATAGCACCGCAACGCCGAAGAGTAATAGGCTAGATATCCCAGGAATGGCAAGGACGGCAGGAGGAAGCCATTGCTCGGCCTATGCCAAGACCCACTGTCGTGGCTGACCAATATCAGTCTGCATGCCAGCGATGGCTGCGTTCAGAGAAAGACATGTCGTGGCAACTTCGTGGTCCCCGGGTCACTTTGGCTGATGAACAAAGCTAGACATGCCAGTCGTGCCGATCTGGGACGTCAAAAGCCTGCCTTTGTTCCTGTCTCCACCGAAATTGTCGTCTCTGGCAAGTTGTGTGGTTCTGGATACACATCGAGGTCAAGAAGCCTAGTATCTGCGAGAATGAGTTTGCGGCTAGCGGTGTTCATGCTCGCACTGGCAGCAGTCTTTGCACAGGCCGCCACCAACGCGGAAAAATGCAAGAGCAAGAATGCGCGAGTGTACGATGCAATCACACAATTCTGCGGCCGAACAGACATCGTCGTACCATCGACATACGCTACAAAGGGCGCTGAGAAGGCCGCAGCGCCGCCAAAGTTTCCCAACAACCTGAGCGTCCGCATCGAAGGTGAATCGTCTCGTCTCGTCCGACCGGCGTGCTTGGTGTTTTGTTGACGTGAGCAGGCAAATGCAGCCCGCCACAATGGGTTCCGCAAAACTATTGCACGACACAATTCTTTCAAGCTTGCGCGAGTGGAGGCACGTTCGGTGGCAAGGTCAAGAAGTTTGGCAGGAATCAATGCCAAAGCTGGGTAGGGCCTTCTGATCTGGGCCGTGGCTCCCCTTTACTAATCGCGTGATAGATCATCGATATTGTGCCGGCTACTTTGAAGTATGAGACGGCGGCATCGCCATCCCACAACGTCATCAGCGGTCTGAGCGAAATCGCCAAGAGCATGTCGGCGACCGCAAAGCCCACCAAGGACCGATGTGCGGCCTATCCATATCCTGACTGCCCGTAAGCATCAGAAGCAAAGGCGTGGTTGACGAGTATGCCGAGGAGCAGTCACCGGAATAGACAGACGTAGTGATTATGCGATGCCAGGTAGCTGCGGTATGAATGCCTTGGAAGCGTCTCAGTGGTCATGTCAGCCCTTCCACCGACAAGTATATATATGCATTCGGGTGCTGCCGGACGAAGCTCTGTAGACCATGGTATTCTTCATGTGCATATGACTGCCAGAGTGTAATATGAGTGATGCGTTCTCTGAGTGGAACGCCCGCCTTCTGTGAGCTATGCCGCCGCCAAGCCTTGCCGAGTGGTGGTTATGTGCTTGACATAGTGGGAGTACGACGACCGCATGAAAATCATGGTGATGGGATAAACGATGAAGGATCAGAGTGCGACTGGGGTGATTCCAGAAATGGCTAGCGCTGCCGCACCTACCCGCGTCTTGGCAGTCTTTCCCTTTCCTCCTTCACCGAGCTTCATCAACTCTTTCTTAATCTCGTACACCGTCACAACGCACTCTTGTGTCCAACCCCAGTCCGACCGTCTGCGGCTCCCTCAATTGTCCATGGCAGCTTCCGCGGTCAAGGCCACCTTCCTCCGCAGATCACGTCTTTGCATGAACCATACGAGCCAAGTGATACCGAATTGGGCCCCAAAGGCCGCACTGGACCAAATGAAACCCTTCGCGAACCTCGGAGAGTCAACCTGTGGATATGTCAAAAGCGGCAGCCAGGCATTGAAGGCGTAGCCGAAAGAGTTCATCAAGCCGAGAACGATCGTCCGCTCTTCCGCGTCTGCTCCGCAAATCTCGCTGCGTCTCGTCAGGAACAGAGCCCAAAGAGTCGATCAGCCGCACTTACTTTGCCCAGGACATGCTCATCGGTCCATACGCCACCGAAGCTCGATACATCAAGAATGCGAACCACTTCAGTCCATGCGGCACCGTCCATGCTGCGAGGACCATCGCGCAGAACAGGCCAAAGAATGTCGACACAGACATCAAGGCAGGCCTGTTTCGGAAGTGGTCCGAGAAGATGGCGAACAGGACGGTGGTCACGGCCTGCACTGCGTACTGTGAGGTCGGGATGATGTTAATCAGCTCCACCGAATACCCGCTTGCCTTCAGCCACAGCGACATTGGATTGATGCTGGAAGATGGCCCCTTCCCTCGGTCAGCGGGGACCCAGAACGGAACCAACTCCACGCCATACTTACCGAGTTGATGAAAATGACGTATAGCACGATCAACAGATACACATGCCATCGACCAAAGATGCGCTTCCAGGCCGAGCGACCAAGCCTCGTCCGCGGAGCTCGGCCGATATCGTACATTCGCTTCTGCGCCAACGCTATCTGGTCCTTACGAAGGTAGAACGCCCGCGAGTTCTCGGGCAGATCTGGGATCAAGAAGAGTCCTGCGATGGTGATTGGTGCGCTGATGACGCCATCCATGATGAACAGCCACTGCCAGCCTGCCATTCCATTGACTCCATTCAAGCCTTTGTATACTCCAGCTTGCAGGTAGCCACTGAACATGGATGCCAACGCGCTGGACGCGTGGAATAGGCATGCTCGTTTGGCCAGCTCACTTGGCTTGTACCAGCTCCCGAGGATGAAGTGTGCTGCCGGGTAGAAGATGCTCTCCAGCAGGCCCACGAAGAAGCGGATGGCAATGACATGATTCGATGTCTTGGCAGCAGCGAGGCAGAAAGTCAAGATTGTCCAGACCATCTCGCAGCTCGGAATCCAAATACTCGGTCGGACCTTGGTCAGGATGATTTGCGAGGGAATCTGTCCCACCACATAGCCAACGGTCCATGCTGTGTCGACCAAGTTGATTTGGTTGGAATTCAAACTCAAGTCTTCTTTCATTCCGGACACGAAGGCGTTCGCGATATCTGCGAGCAGCGGTCAGCGGTGGTCAGAGTATTGGGTTGCTGCGTGGAGTACTTGTCTGGTCCAGGTTCTTGATGAAGTATCCCAAGGAGAGGATGATCAGAACGCTGATGTCGAGGCGTTGGACGAATGCTGTCTCCTCCTTCGACCGGCCGGGCTCATAATCCCAAATGTACGCCCACCACGGCACTCTTGGCTTCTCATTCCCATCCGTGCTGGCATTGCGGACTCCATCAGATTCAAGCTCGCTATCTGCTGGTCGGCTGTCACTGTTGAAGCCCTTCTCCAGCGGCGGCGACGATGCCATCTTGCTTTCACAAACGCTGGAAAGGAGCGCTTGGAGTTCTTCGTGTACGACCTCAGTGCGATACACATCTGCTTTTGAGGACGACATGCCGGCCACCCGCTTTTCCTTTTCCGCCGCTCTGTGGCGACGGACCCAGTCACAAAATCAGTCCACGCATCTTGAGCCCGATAATGCTCTGCCCCTATCTATCAGGCACCGCAAGCGATCCTTCCCGCCGGTCAAAACGATTGCGTCTTCCGTTCGACACTCCTCATTCCGAATGCCTGGTCGGCATTTCCACGCAAAGTGCGACGTCCACATGCCACAACGTGCTTGGGAGTCGCCATTGCGCGACTTGAACCTTGAGGAGATCTGCATTCCCGCGCTGTGTTGCTCAGGGAAATATGTCGGAGCCCGGAGTGATTGGAGGGCGTGGAAGCACTCGGCGCTTGGCACCGATGGCAAGCTTGTCCAGCTTCATTGCGCCATATTCCATCGGCCTGTCGCGGGGAAACATTCACACTTCACCACAACATCCACCTGACATGGCATCGATGAAGCATTATTGTCCATGGCAGTTGCCGTAGAATTATGACACCTACGAAGCGGAAAATCGGTTCGCAGTCGCCCATCAAATCTGACGCGCCGATATGAGTGCTCTTCCCCCAATAACGGGTATATCACAAACACGACGATGCAGGTACAAATATCCATCAGATCGTTGGCTGCACAATGATATCAAGGCGTTCAAAATTCACAATTCCCATCTACATAACGTACAATTCGCAGAGCCGCAGCAGCGCGACAATGCACGCTGGACCTCAGTCCGCTCTGAACGCCAATCCGCGTTCCCTTCCCATGAATCCGCGACACCTGCGTGTCTCTGCGGAAATGTCGTCAAAAACAGGACATAGTACCTTCCAGCCGCTTGCAGTACCGAACACCATACAAAAGTCCGCGAATCTTCAATCTCCCTTCACAACTTGCCTCCAGCTTTGCGACCGCACGACCAGCAGGTACACGAGCAGTACTCTGGCTTGTATCCACATGTACAAAACACCGCCTGACATCCTGCACAGCGTGGAAACTGGACGTTGAGCGGATCCGCGGGCTTCCAGAGCTTCTCGTCCTCCGTGTCCCTCTTCTTCGCCGCTTGTGTCTTTCCCTCGCCTCTCTTCCGCTTGCGTGTCTCACCGAACTCGTTGAGATCTGGGTCCTGGCCTTTCATGCCGGCTGCGGTCGTGGTAGCGATACGTAGGAGCTTCGAGCCGGTGGAGTTCGAGATGGCTGGAGCTGACTTCCGCGCTTTGGTAGATTTTGGCGGACGAGAAGTCTCAGCGTCTGGTGAGTCGAGTGGCTCATGGACGATATCGCTCTTCGTCTCTTGATCTGCACGAGACATGGCCCGCGACAAGGCCGATGGTGCCTTTGATGCGGTGCTGCCCGCTTTCTTTGAAGCGCGCTTTGAGCTCTTTGCCTTGAAGTTTGGACGAGCAAGCACTTTTTTCATGCTCTCTGGAAGGGCCGTATCCTTCGCTGTCGCCTTTGGAAGTTCGGCGCTCGAGTCCTCTGCTGACAACTTGGGTTGATCTGTGACGGTGGGTGACTTCGCAGTATCAAAGCTCGAGTCCTCTGCCACTGTTCGCGGCTTCTCTGGAGACGACATTGCTGTCGCTTGGGCGTCCAGTCGTCTTGGGTCGCTCTGGCTACCTAAACGTCAGCTTGTGAAACTTGCAAGACCCAACCTTGCCCGGGAGATTGGCGTGCGCGACGATGTCTTTGGTGACAGACCTCGATGTTTGTGTGTCTGACCTCGTCAGTGTTTTTTTTTCTTAATCTGTGTGGCAACTTGGTGTTGGGTTTTGTATGAAGCGCGACTCGGAATTCTGGTTGCGGATTGAAGAGCAAGTCAAGGGAAAGGCAAACGCTGAACGGAACACGCAGGACTCGACACATTCACTTTCACTCGCATTTCAGCACTTCCTGTTCCTAGGAAGCCATTCTTAGAACTTACAATAGATTTCATTATAGGCCTTCCTCCTACTAAGCGTAGGGGTATCCGCAGATGGGTCTCCTGCGACCATTGCTCATCAATATGCATCGCATTTTCTCGCAAAGGCGGTTCTCTACGCCTGTCTTGCAAACGGCCGTTATTACTTTCGACCAGACCTCCCGCACTTCCAGCACTCACAATCGCACCAATCCTCGGAATGATCCTTGATGCATCGCACAGCCCTGCAGTTCGGGCAGCGAGGACGAACGATGTTGAAAGGATCAGTCACCTTGAACCTCTTCGAGCCGTCCTGGTCTTCGCCATCTTCATCAGTGATGGCGCGCTTCATTTCGTCTCCCGACTCGGTCATCGCCTGAGTCAAATCGTTTGACTTCTTCTTCCCGCCGAATGTCGTTGACGAGGAAGCGAGCTGAGGCACATCCTGAGGACTGCTCGTGGTTGAGGGTGTGGTGATCTTGAGATGAAGCGGCGGGTCAGTCTCAGACGGGGTAGCTGCAGCACCAAACTGAAGACCTTCTCGGGCGGGTGGGACATATGCCTGAATGTGATCTGTGCCAGACTGCAATGTTTGTAACATCACAGCAGCCTCGCCCAACGTCTCCGCATGGGTCCCTGGAGGAGTGGCGTTAGTGACACCCGCAAGCTGTTCCTTGAGCTTCTCGTAAAGCTCTGCTCTATGCTTTGGCCGCTCTCGCTCCCGCTGGGCCTTCTTGGCCTTCTTCTCCGCCTCTGTGAGGACATTGCTTGATTCGGATTCGTCTCGAGTCTGCGAAGGATAAAGCTCCCTTTGGCACCAAGATCCACCACGCACGAGAAGAAACGACGTGCTGCGGTTTTGGGGACGGTCTGTGTTACTGAAGCTCAGTCATTACGCTAGGCACGAGCGTTGCCTGACGGGGATGAGAAGAGCAGGATCGGTGACATCTTCCGACGTGTGCTAGCAGTGAATGGTATTTCTGGCCACTCCCGCAGGACCTGGTAACATCCAGCTGTTCTCGATCCTTCCGCAGCTCTCCAGAGACAGCTATTTTTCGAAAGCTAGCATTGTCTGATGTTGGAGGCAGAACTTCATAAGCTGTCGCCGTGGTAGAGGGTACCGCCTAGCATCATCAAGCTCTCTGACATTGGCGGGAGTATTCATGGCCAACATCAATAAGACAAGAATTGCCCGCCGTTCAAGCAAAGAGACAGACGACCACACATCCGGCGCTGAGCGATCTACTATGGCTCGCATGCCTATGGACTCTCCTCGGACAACCCCAACAGCTCGTCCGGCCGTGTCTCCAGGCATTGCGCGAATCCAAACCGAGCCCTCAACAACTCCAGAGCCTACACCTCGTGCCCTCGATCCAAACGCGAAGAATATCGCTCCGCCATCTCAAGATTATCACAAGGGTGGCGTAATCCAGGTTCCACGTCGCTACGATAAGGCAACCCCAATCCCATTCAACAAGGAGGTCATGCAGCACTTCAAGAACGGCCCACCTGCAGGCACGCTTCTGTTTCAGCTTCACAATGGGCTGATATCCTGGCTCAAGCACCACGGCCATAAGATCAAAAAGCCTAGTCAGGACGAATCGGTGGCGTTGGTCAGCGAGCTTCTTCGAAATTCTACTGCTTTTCCTGATGGGTTTTATGGGAAGGTCGGTTCGTTACCCTCATGCAAGACCCACGTTGAGGCATTCACGGACGCCGAGGACGTCGATCATGGCGATGACTTTCATGATCAAGAAAATTGCGAGGATCGCGAGGAGGAGAATGAGGACGAGGATGAGAACGACGAAGAGGAAGAGGAAGAAGATGAGGATACGGAGTGATATCATCTCTTCTTAAGCGTACTTCCGCCAGAAATGCGTTTTCGTGAAGCCTGAAGCCATGACGTGACGTCGGGTGCTGGTGTCGAGCAGATAGAGCGGCGAGATGAATTTGTTGGAGAGGTTCACGAATCCAATGCCAGAATGATACCCAGATCGATCTCAATTTCCGCGAGTCGTGGGGAGCGTTGACTGGGAGATCAGCGATACCTGGGGATGTGAAGTTGAGAGCATACGACCACATCTCGGCCTCGACGGCTTTTCAACCTGAGATGATGGGCTGACATGGCGAGGAGAACCAATATGGCTTAATCTGCCCAGTCCCATTTTTCCAAGTCGCAGGGTCGCCAGCAATGCTTTTGCATGACATTTTGGGGTATCATCCGACTTTCAGGCTTCCCTGATTTTGAGAAAGCATAGGAGTCAGGTGAAGGTACGTACGTATATACTCTGCTCCGTCCATCCAACGATCTTGGTGGCACTTCTACCAAGAGCTAGGCTTTCGGCTGGGAGATCAGCGATCGGGATATAAAGTTGAGAACAGACACTCCAACCAGCCTCGACGGCTTTTAAAGTAAGATTATAGGCTTCGATCCGACGATCTTTCGAGGAGAATCAACATAGCCTATATCATCTGCCTAGTCCTATCCGTCCAAGTCGCACAATGCCGGGCTGGGACAAGTGGAGAGGCATCATTTACCGCATGATTCTTCTTGACGTGCTTCATTCGATCACCTTGGGGCGGTTTCTGACTAGTAGCAATGTCTGTCCTCGAGAACCTCTCCGTACACAAACGGCTAGAAGGCCGATGCGGAAATCTTCAGCATCCGTTGCACGCTGCGTTGAAACCTTCTGGCGAGTTGAGGGCAGTCCTTGGCCTCGCGAACCTCCGCCACGATTTCCTGCGAGGACTTTAGAAACTTCGTACCTTGCGCTTTGAGAAATTGGAAATTGGAGTTCTAGTATGGTGTAGTGAGAAGTGCTGTTTCACTTCAGTTCAACTCGGACTACCGCGAACGACAACGCTTTTAGCCTCTCGAATAAATGGCGTAGGCTGGAATCTTCTCACGAATAGCAGACATGTGGAGAGGAGTATACAGGCTTTCGACCTCACTCGCCTGTCATCTCCATGGACTCCAACTCTCAAGACCACTGTGGATCTGCAACAAGTATTGCTACACACGAGTTGATCATGCAACACCTTTCAATCCACGACTAGAGAACATGAGCTCCTGCGTCTATTGAAGAAGTCATTTGAGGATGAGTGAGACGTAGGATTGGTTCAGAGATCTTGGCAAGGAGCAGGAGAATTGGAGCCAAAGATTGTGCATATGGAGAAAAAATACGAGAGGGACGGACATGAGGCAGGGAGAACTAACTAGAGCTAATGGCAAACAGCCAGAAGACTTCTAGCCATCGGGTTCTAGGGACTGCCAACCGCTACACCAACTGCCCTGCTGCGATATAATTCCGGTGCTTGTTGTCCCAGGTTCTTCCCAGAGACTCTTTGCGCTGCTCACTCCGCTGGCCAACGCGCTGGCTTGCACCGGATGTAGTAATCGCTGGCGAAAAGGCCATGGTGAACATCGTGGAGTAGTCCCTCCCCCGCCGAGTCCTATTCAAGCGAGCGAGCATCTGGGCCATAGTTTGGACTCGGAGAACCATCCTGATCTTCTTTCATCCATCGTGGCGGCTAGCGTTATCCTGCGCTCTACAATATTGCTCTCAGCTGCTCGCCCGGAGGGACGTGTTTCTAGTGGATATGGTTCGCGGAGCCGTACATGTTTTTCGAATCGAACAGCAGCTCGACGAGGACTTGATCTGCTCGAACCGTTGGCCACGACGTCCACTGCGAATCGACGTTGTGGTGGCTGAAGCTCACTGCTGAAATCCATTCGGGGGAATATATGTACTTTTCACCTTGCTGGCGAACACGACGCCGCTCTCAAGGCTACTGAGCTCTATAGACTGTTAGCTACGACATTCAATACGCTGCTGCGCTGTAGGCCAAAGGATTATTGCTTCGGGTCCTTCAAGAAGAGGATCTTCGCTCTTCGTTCCGGCCGTCGACATCTTGCCCTTCGAGGAAGCATTGCGCCTTATAAGGTATTGCTTCCGACACTCACTGCATCATCGCTTGGGATGCTGGAGCTCGCCACTTCATACTGGTTAAGAAAGCATTTGCGTCGCTCACGTCGCCTCCCAAGCCACTTCATCGTGCGTTACAGAGCATTGCTTTATATAGACTGCCTGATCGCTTCGATATACTAGAGCCGTAGACCTGCTCAAGGGAATGCCAGTCTCACCCACTGATCCAACGTTCTCAATGCAAGGTTGGCTTTGGCATCGAACGCTCGGTGGTGCAGCAGCGCTAGAGCTGTAAATGAGCTCAGGAGATTGTGTGAGCTCTTCACGCTACCCGCCATTCTGATTCACCGGGTCCAGCACATCAGGTCGTCTGGCAGGTCGCGTGCTTCTAGGAGGACAACACCGAGTTCCGATAAGGCGCCGTTATTCATTTCGCAATCGATGCCCATTAGTGTTGTTCTGCTATTCGCATCGGACTCGGCGAATTGGTAGAACGTAGCAAGGCGCTCCCGAAGAGCTTAGGAGGAAGAGGTCGGCGTAGCCGCATAATTGAATCCTCGCGGTTGAGTACCGCCGAGAATATTGGGCCGGGTCCAAAGGAGTGGATCATCGTGATCGAGGGTATAGCCAGTACTCCTCCTAATATTATCCTGAAATTCGGCGCGGTATATTAGGGCGAGTGACTGTAGGTTATCGAGGGCGTCGCTAGTTGCTATATGCGACACTGTAGCCTAGCTACCTAACACTTCTTGCAGTTTACTAGCGCTGCAGCCCTGGCCATTAGGGAACTCGTCGTCGTATCGGTCGATAGCTAGTGCTTAGACGTCGAGTTGTGCATTCCAGCGGGTGAGGTGATTAACCATATAGAGATTTGTCTTCGATAGGGCGATATAATCCTGCTAAGGGGCGAACCAGACCGGCACAAGCAGCGGTTGGTTGTCGTCGTGTCTGGCCTCAATAGTAGTCCTGCTAGGTGGCGTAGTGTGGTGTAGTTGGCAATGATTTATTTTGTCGATGATGTCCTGGTCCAAGCCTTTGCCCTTGCCCTTGCGTGTGGTACGGCTGCTGCTGCTGCTGATGTTGTGCATATTGGCTGCACTACCAGCACTGATAGCGGCCAACTTAGCTCGCATGATCGGGTCCATTGTATCGGGTAATCGGCTGTGCTGCAAGAAAACAAAAACAGACAAATGTAACCACATTGGACGCGTTCGACTCCGATTCACTAGGATGGCTGTCCCGATCGACTGGTGTTCGCTGAGGTGAATATGCATCCTCTCCTCTCTCGCCGCAGCATTACGAACAATACTCCTCTTCTTCCTGAACTCAGTCGTATCCGCTTCTGGCGGACTGTATACCTTCCGCTTACATAAAGAACAAGCGACAATCCCACAGCGAGAGCATTCATGCAAGTAGGAAGTTTTTTTGCCCTGGAGTTTGGTGGTGCAAAGATTGCCGGCGGCACAGCTTTCATCAAGGGCCGCTTTGTCCCATTTCGTCATATGACGGGCATTCTCACCACCTTGCGACTCACAGCGGCATCGCGAGGCGGCAGAGCACGATTCTGCTCTGCGGTGCTTGGCTTCGGTGGCGGCTGTGAGCTGTTGGCAGGCGGCAGCGGTGGAGGGTGAGCGGCGGTGGTGCTCACATTGGCGCGGCCAGCATCGCGACTCTCAACGGCATCGCGAGCTGGGGGAGGCTGGTTTTGAGCTCCGTTGCTTGGTGGAGCTATCGGCTGTGAGTTATTGCAGCTGGCTTCTTACAATGCCACCGCCTACCAGGTATGCCGTCAAGGACTCTCTGAAGGCACCGGTTCGTTTTGGGGTTCGACATCAGCTGTTCGTGGAAACACAACAGCGTCTTGTCCACATTGGGACGCCAATCTGGTGTGGACATGTCATTCGAAAGAGTTGGGGTCGGTCGCTGTGCCTTTTATGCAACGCGAGAAGTCGGCAGGCTCAGTCTGCCATCACTTTGACTTCCTGAAATCACTTTGCATCCCTTTTTCTTTTTCATCGCTCCGCCGCATCTGGCGACGACGCGGAGATGAAAGCTACGCAGAGAAGTGAGCAGAAAGAACTCGAAAGCACGAACATGGCCAGTGGCAATGGTGGACGGGGATGTACTCGCGGTAGAGAGGACTCCAACAAGCGATGTTTGCCGCGCAAAATCACCCAAAGAAACTCTCAAAGCAATCAAGGCCGGCAATGAAGCAAGAATGTGGACTCATCATACTCATGTTCTTCAAGCTTCTCGTCCTAAACGCAACACCCATGACAAGCTCAACACCCGGAGACTCATCTCCCCCAGATCAACACAACCCAGACAATGCCAGCTCCTCAACACTTTCGCCTCCATCATCATCCACACTCGCAAATCGATCTTCAGAAGGATCACCATCTTCTTCCGAAACGAAAGCGCCAAAGACCTCAACAATCAACAAAACTTCCTCTTCTTCCCCTCCCCCATCTTCCAAAACCTCTCCAATAAAACTCCACACCGACGAACTAACCTTCACCCACGGCCTCAAATCCCACAACCCCTTCTCCAAACTCCGCCACCCGAAGCACGCGATCACCACGCATCAACGTGATTCTCTCGCCTATGCCATAGACAACAATCTCGTGAGCGCGGAAACCAAACATAAATTTTCTGAACAGCATGCTTGGTTTTTTCAGGGAGGGGATAAAAAGACGAGTCTATATGAGATACGGGTGTATGATGCTGTGAAGGCGAGTGATGGGATTGTGCTGGATGAGACGGCGAGGGGGGATCAGGTTGCGAGGAGGTATAGGGATGGGAGGAGGTGTGGGAGGTGTTGGGGGGTGTTTTGTGGGTGTGGGTGAGTGGACTTTTGGGGGAGGAGGGTGGGGAGGTTGTGGAGGGGGACCGCAGAAAGGAAGCCATAAGCAGAGCACAAGATTCGCAAACGTCGCTTTCCCCTCCGTACCTCCGCCCTCCAGCCTCATAGTCTACCTTTACATCAGCGAAAACCTTACACCAATCGAAAGCAGCAAACCAGGAAAATGACACCCCTCCTCCCCCCACCCCCGCAATCTCCTCAACTCCCACCACCACCACCATCCATGGCGCGAACGGGACGAACTCGGTCGCGAGATTGATAACGGCGATGAGGAGACCCATTGCGCCGACGAATGCGGCGAAGGTCGAGGAGGAAACCATTCCGGGCGAGGCCGCAGGAGTCGTAGTCGTAGTCGTCGCAGAAGGTTTGGAGTTTTTGGAGGAATTTGAGGAGGGTGATTGAGGTGCCGAGGATGATGAGGGAGGAGGAGAGAAGGGGATTTGGAGGGGGTGGGAGAGGAGGAGCGGGAGTTGTGCGTGAGGAGAGTCACGGTTCAGAAGGAGATGGGAAAGAGAGGATGGTGTTGGTATGGTGGTACACTTTTGTATTCAAATCATGAAACTGGCTCCAGTGTCACGAATGCTGAATCGGCGCACAAGCTCTGATAGCAAACATTACATTCAGTTGATATGCGCAAATTCGTGCTTCAAGCTGTGGTGCTTCACGCATGCAGTTTCGTTTCGTTCGTGATATCTTCGCATCGCATACGCGCGGCGTCTCCTTCGATTGCGCTTTTGGTGTAGCGCAGGTAGATGCAGGTAACCGCAAGGTCGTCACTCGTTCAGTTGCGTCAAGGTTGTCTGTCTTCGGCGAGTTTGGAGGCTGCTCTCAATGGCCGCGAATACTTCCCGACCGCTTGGCGATGAAGCCGAGAGCAGCAGCCATGATGGTGGCGAGGAATCCGATGAACATGAATGCCGTGGCTGCGGTGAAGCGAGAGCATGGCGAGAGGAGGTCGTAGTCGCGGCCACTGCCACATGGGCGCCACCGGCCTTCGGTGGTCGGAGCAGGGTGGCTGTACAGGATGGCGAAGTTCTGGAGGCACGGTGTCAGTCACGGGATGATGCTCATACGGGGTGGAGGAAGGTACGATGCCACCAGCGAGATAGAAGATGGCCGCAAGCGCATCCCCGCCAAGCGCGACGAGGAAAGGGACGAAGCTGACGAAAGCTGCGATCAGGCCGACGAAGGCATCGAGAAGACCGAAAGCGCCGACAAATGCTGTGAAACCCAGGGTCGATGGGTAGCGAGAGTACAGTCGGCCGCAGTTGACGTTCTTTTCGTTGCGGGCATCGCAGAGGTCTTTCCGAAGGTGGACGCCATTGTACGTGGACGCGGCCATGGCGAGCACAATGGCGGCGCATGCGAGCTGCGCGTGGTGTCAGAAAGGCGCGCGCGCGAATTCTGGAGTTGGCGCGCATACCTGAATGAAGCGGCCGATGAGTAGGCCGAGCTTGCTTCCCTCCATTTTTGACGATGTTGGCGAGCGTTTTGTGGGATGTGAAGACAAACTGAAGCTGGACTGCGACTGCAGTTGATATGTCTTGTGTGCTTGCCTTGCCTTGCACGAGCCGAGCCAAGCCAAGCCAAACGGATGACGAACGATCTGTGTGACTCGAGACAAACGGTCTCCCAGTGGGGACTAGTGGCTTGTCCTGTGAAAGTCGCTCTCGCAAGCTTTCCGATTTCTTCTTCCTTAGCAACACAACTGGAAGATTGTACCTGAGCAGAAGAAGAGGAAGGACAAGTGCCGACAGTACCGGAATCCCTTCTTCTTGTATTGGAGCAGCAGAAGAGTCTGGGTCGAGAGGCTGAGGCGGCACAGGCACAGGCACAGCTGCAGCCAAGCGCTCTGAATGTGGCAGGCAACATACCACAAAAGGTGGTCGGCAGGATTCCACGGCGAGTCTTGAAACGCTTGACGTCCCGCGCAAAGATGCCAGCGAGTCCAAACTTCCCCAAGGCGGAAGTCCTGCGAGCATGTCATCGAATAAATGCAGCGCTGTGCCTAACCGCTAGCCTCAACCAGACAGGCGGCAAGTCCTGCAGAATGAACGTGACACACCGGTATTCTTGGCCAAGCACTCTCAATACGGAGCGCCACTGTGATTCTTCAAAGCTATATACGTACCATACTCGGCGTGGCTACGAAGCTTGAATCCTTCGAGAGCTGATCACTTGACCGGAAGTCCTCCAGGCAAAGGATCGTATTCGACTGCCGAGCATACCGCCGAGGCATCATGACTGCCAGAACAGCGTTGGCTTCAGTGTGGTAGACTTGCTCAAAGCATGGTACAGTATGGTGCATGAAAAGTTCGATATCCCGTCGCGTGAGAGATTGAGAGCCGGCGGCAGTGAGAAAACAAATATAGAGCGACGTGGGGCACCGGATGAAATTGCGGTCATGTGATTGGTCAATGCCTATCTTTCCTCGAACCGTAGAGGTTGAATGCCCGAACAATGGCTGGCCTGGTCTGGCGTTTCTCACCAGAACTCGGTGTGCAGTCTTCTTCTCGTCTGCTTTGGAGGGAAGGCACGACTGTCGCCTGCTTCCCATTCATACCACACGCCCACACTGCCCAGCATGCCGCCGATACATCTGACCTGGAATGAAGCGCTATCGGGCGTCTTTGGCAGCATTTCCCTCGCAGCCTGGATCTTTCTGCTCGTACCACAATTGATCGAGAACTACACCAATGGCCACGCCGACGGCATCTCCCTGACATTCCTCTTCATTTGGTTCATCGGCGATATCACGAACTTTGCCGGTGCCATCTGGGCAGGTCTCGTGCCGACGGTCATCGCATTGGCTGTATACTTCTGCATAGCCGATCTAGTGCTGATCTCGCAATGCTTGTATTATTTGGGACTGAAGAAGAAGCAGGAGACGGAGGTTGTGGCCAGAGAAGAAGGCACAGAGCAGACACCACTGCTGAACGGACACGCGACCCAGAATCCTTCCGTCTCCAAGAGCCCGAAGCCTTCGCAACCCAAGAGAAGGCTGACAGATGTGACTGAGGAGAATCTGGGTCTGCCGGGTAGTCGTCGCACGAGCAGGGCAAGCCTCAGAAGAACGAGCACGAACGAAGGCCGGGACAGCCTCGAGCGCATCATGGAAGAGCCGACCAGGACGAGGGCGATCGTCAAGAACACCGTCTCCTTCCTCGGCGTGTGCGCGGTAGGAGCTGCGGGCTGGGCAATCGCATGGAAGACTGGTGCGTGGAGACCGACACCTGTGGGCGAGGAAGGCGATGGCGGTGAGACGCCGATTGGCGCGGAAATTCTTGGATACATCAGTGCGGTGTGCTATTTGGGTGCGCGGATACCGCAAATCATCAAGAATCAGCGTGAAAGGTCGTGCGACGGCCTCAGTCTGCTCTTCTTCATGTTGAGCTTGCTGGGCAACTTGACATATGGTGCAGGCGTAAGTCAAACGATACCACTTTACATGCAGGCAGGCCTGTACTGATTTTGACCAGATTCTCTTTCACTCGCTCGAGCGACAATATGTCATCACGAACACCCCTTGGCTGATTGGCTCTCTCGGCACCATTGTCGAAGATGCGATCATTTTTATCCAATTCCACGCATTCGGCGAAAGAGCGGAAAGCATGGCGGTTGTCTGAAGCATAAAGTGCATTGCGGAGAACAGTACAGTAGAACTGCGTGTATGATACCCACGAGGAGCGAGCGTACGTAATTTACTGATTTGCTGGACGACGCAGGAGGAGTTTCTCGGACCTTGCGTATGAATGCTGCTTCCATCACCTGGCCAGTGTCCTGGACGCTCAATTGCACATCACAAAGCGACAGAGTTTGGTACGCTGCAGAAAAGGCAGTCACGACTGACCAATGACCCTCACGGCATGTCAAGCGTGGTCTTCCCAAACGAGGTCACCGCAATGGACGACGAAATACAAGTGTGCTCTTGTCTTCTTCTCGGGACAGCAACCAAATCAGCAATTACAATTGAACTGACCAGATCAGTACTTTCAACAAGTTTAGATATCATCGCTATTGCAGACCAACTACCGACTTCATTCTCAACACCTCGGCAGCCATGAACACGAAAGGCAACGAAGCTCGCCTCGCGAGCAACAAGAAGAAAAAGCAAGCGCAATCTTCTGCTCAGTTTTCGCAACCTGGACCAAGCACTGGCGGACGAGATCCTCAAGGCACGATCTACTTCTGGCGTGAGTACGAACGAAATCACGGCTTCCTCTGCTAGTGGGCACCTTCCCCATTCAAAGTCGACGGCAAGCTCTACTATACCGCAGAGCACTGGATGATGGCAAGCAAAGCGCGCCTCTTTCGCGACCAGCCCATGATGGTCAAGATCTTGCAGGCCTCGCATCCGGGCAAGGCGAAAGCGCTCGGCAAGCAAGTCAGAGGCTTCAGCGAGAAGGTGTGGGTGCAGAACTGTGATCAGATCGTGGAAGAGGGCAACATGCACAAGTTTCGCGGCAACGAGGGACTGAAGAAAAAGCTGCTTGCGACGGGCGATCGTGAACTGGTCGAGGCGAGCCCGCATGATCGCATCTGGGGTGTTGGGTTCGATGCTGCCCATGCTGAGGCGAATAGACAGTAGTGGGGCCAGAGCAAACTGGATGTGGCATTGATGAGAGTGAGGGAGAGGCTGAGAGAGGAAGATCGGATGAAGGAGAAGAAGGGTGAGGTTGTTGAGGGGGTCGATGGAGACGAGGCAGAAGAGTCGCAGGCTGGCTGATGCGGGTCGGAGCGGTGGAGCATAGGGAGTCTGAGGAGTCTGGGGCCTTGGTGAAGTCCAATCGTGCACCATCGAGCAGTGATAAAGGCTTTCGTCGTATAATTTTGTATGAGTACAATGTATCCGGGGCGCCTCCCTGGCTCTCCCTCAAGATCTCGGTCGGCATCCATGCCTCGGCAGGAACCGCGAATCCTTCCAATTCCTTCCTTCCTAAGATCTCCCATCAAGTCCATCCTTTCTCCTCACAATTCCTGCATTACTAGCAAAGACGGAGAAATACCTCAGAAGCTCAGCCACTCTGTCTCCGTCCCGGCCAAGAGACGTCGAAGCTCGCCAGACGAGGCAAGCGATATGCATCTATTCTCGGCCACGGCCAGCAGGGAACATCGGCAGCTAAAAACATAGCGCATTAAGGCTGATGTAAGTACCTGCGGCCTGCCTATGCAAGATCTCTTCTCTGTGCGCATTCTCATCAAGTCGTGATCTTTGCATCTGCCGAGCAAATCATCACACAAATGGGCAGCATACGGCTTCGGAGGCATGCAGACACCTCCCGACAGCGACGAGGACACTCGATTTCGTGAAATCGCCACCGAAGATGAGGTGGACCTCGCAGCCTATGCAGACGAGTCGAACCTCCCGCGTCATGGCAGCCAGCCGTTCCGAGGAATCCGAGCGCTTTCTGGTGCTACCAAAGACCAGCAGTTGATTCGACGACACCGCAAGACTCAAAAGAATCCACCACGGACCCCAGAAAGCGCCAAACATGCGCCGCCCCTTCTGGTGTACAAGCCGACTGCTGCAGCCACGCGCCTGAGGACGGAGCTCGTCGACATGATGGTCAGGACTCACCGAAACGACATCTGGTTCCAGCTGGTCCCCTCGCGAATCGGCCACGACGATGCTGTCGATGCGGCGGCCAAGGCAATTGTGAAGGCATCGGATCTTGCGGCCAAACGAACCAATGTCACCCAAGACAGCTGTCTGTCCAGCTATGGCCGCGCCATCACTTCCTTGCGAGACAACATGGCAAAATCCGCCTCCGCAGATGATACGCTTCTTGCAGTCGCCCTCCTGGTCACATTCGAGCGGCTCTTTTCCTGGACTTCGGCCCCATTGCGCTCGCATATGCATGGCATTGCTGCCATCCTGATGGCGCAAGCGACTTCGAACAAACCCCCAAGCGACCTGTCTTGTGCTCTGATGTATACATTCTGGCCCATTGCCTTCATCGGACCGTGCGTGATGGGCACGCCTTCTCCCTTCGAATGCCCACGATGGCTCGAAGCTGAGCCGGTCCCATTCTCGAAAGAGAAGATGAAAGCGCAATGGGCCCCGGTCGGCAGGCTGAGAAAGCTGAGCAACCAGCATTTCATTCGTCTGCCGCGCCTCATCGTCTGCGTGAAGAGCCTCCAAAGCAGCCCGAATGCGGAAGACGTGGAGAAGGCGGTGCTTCTCGCCAAAGATCTGCTCCGGCTTGAAGATCAGGACGCTGAGAGTGAACTGCTGCACCACGTCAATATTCAAAAGATGGAGTCTCCTGCAACCGCCGACATCACCCCATATGTCATGAATTTCAGCACCATTCCCGAATATGAAGCAGCCATGCATTACTGGTCCACACGCATCTTTCTGCTCCGACTTTGCTGGCGCCTGAACACCTTATTTCCAAAGAATTACGCCGAGCACCATCTCCCTCCGAAGACTGAAATCCAAGCACAAATCTCGCGCTTGGCAGCCAATGTCCTCATGGCCTGTCACTGGGCCACGGACAAAGACGAAGCTGGCCACAGCTGCTGCATCCTGGACCTCGTCGCTGTTTGGGGCGTCTTGAACGATTTCGACGTCTTTGCCGCTCGAGGATTGTCGCCGGCCAAAGCGAGACTCTTGCTTCGCGTCGTGGGTCAGCAGATCATGAGTATCACCAGTTCTAATGCGTTCGAGGAGAGCGGGCAGAGACTGCAAGCCGCTGCTGAGCTGTTCGTTGGCGGCCAGAGCTCTGGTATTCTGGCTTTCACTTTTAAGAAGCCTGGATGAGGAGACAATGCGACGTGAAGATTCGTTCGAGATCATGTCTGCCCCACTGCTTGAGAACAACGAACTGAACAGTTTCGCAAAGCTGTTACTTGTCCTTGGAACCGAGATTTTCCCGAACCATCCGAGATTTGTCCCCGCTTCAATCTCCCCAATCCCAAGGGCCTGGAAGTCCCCAAACACCGAGCTGGCCAGATGGGCCATGTGTGTCGAGGGATACAGCCTCTGCACTTGTCACTTGTTTCGGTAGACACTTCCCTTCTGTGAGTGTGATGGCTTCCTGCATTGCTTCCAATGTTCTGACAACGTGATCCTTACTCGCCAAGAAAGGATGCCTTCCCACGCTCACAGCCAGTCTTACTGCCACGCGTCCACGTACTTCCCGCGCACTTTCAGCCACGATTTTCACGAAGCCTAAGATCGACGATTGCATCTTTTGGACACCATTGAGGAGATATTCGCCATGTCCGTCAGATGGCTCCACTCAGGCACCATTAGGGACCTTCAGAAGCCACCAATTTCGCGCAGTCGGGGAACAAGGTGGATACGAAGGTTAGTACCGCATCCTTCGACCGCCGGTTTGAATAGGGGTGAATTATCAACTCGTAGACCTTGGACCGTGCTTTTGAACGCGCGCGTTCAAAAGCATATAAGACACTATATTTACGACTCGCAGGGGTGGTGATCCTGCCTTAGCTAGAAGAAGTTAGGTATTAGAAGAATATAGAGGTAGCTTAAACCCTGTCCGGCTTAGCTTATTAAAGGCAAATTAGCTCCTTAGCGCTACACCCTGTAACTAGCGACAGCGAGGTAGAAAGTAGCTATTAGGTCTTCGAGATAGTGCGAGAGGGCACTAACTTATATATATAAAGGTCTAGGTATGTAGCCGTTATTATAATTAGCAATAGGGGCTACTAAGGGGCCGCTAAAGGGCTACTAGATAGAACCTAAATTCGAGGATTAATTGTAGTATATCGTCTATAGGATAAGAGGCACCTATAGAAGTAGGAGAGGTCTTTAATTGTTAGTATAACTACCCTTATTCTCGATTATAGCTACTATAGACCCCCCCTCTTGTCTCTCTCGTATTATCGACCTAGGCTCCGGCTCTTCTATACTAGCCTTTGCTACTCTAGTCTACCTACTACTATAGGTACCGCCTATACCTATTCGAGTAGCTCTTTAAAGTAACCCTCTTTATATAGACGTCTCTTTAATATAGCTATATTTAGTCGGAAGTCTATTACCTCTAGTCTAGATAGAGCGGCTACTATATAGTCGCTCTATGTCTATAGCAAGCTTATTAACTAATTCAAGCTATAATAGCGACAGCGAGAGCAGTGTAGCTACTAACTAGATACTAAATTCAACTCTACCGAGGCCGGTTATTTAAAGAGGTATAGACACCTCTTTAACGGCTTACCTCGAGCGGTAGCGGCAACAATAGGCTGTAGTCTAACAGCCTATACTAGATTTGAGCGACTCTTAGCCTTCTACTGCTACTAAAGACTCTTAGCACAACTTTAACCTGCTAGAAGGCGTAGAAGACGACTATAATCGAGTTAATAGCGATAGCCGCATATCGGACGATTTTGCCTTACTAATTATCAAGCACTTCGAGGCTAATGCTAGCTATTATGTAGAAGGTCGGATCCGAGATATAGTTAAGCGCTATTAGAAGTAGTGTAACGACTATAAGCCTACTAGATAGCGTGCTATTAAGGGTATAGATACACTCATTCGTAGGTAGATTGTAAAGCGAGTTATCGAGTATAGAGCGCTATTAACGGCCTCTAGTATAGTTGCTAAGGACTCCGAGTTTAAACAGATACTTGATCGCTTTAAGGACACTGTATTGCTGAATAATAAGAAGCTCCGCAAGAAGCTTCTTACGCCTAATAAACTGCGTAGTTATAAGACACTAGCTTAGCAAGTCTAAGACAATATGCTCCGTGTTATGTCGTAGCGAGTCTAAGAACTAGTAGCGTTTGTAAGTCTATCGATACCGAGTCTAGTTATTATAGCTCCATTAACGCTAGCACTAAATCCGGCTCTTTCTAATCCCCCTTCGACGCTATATACAACGCGCCGCCGCTTAGATATCGATAGTAAGAAGCAGCTAAATAAGGAGCGGTTATTAAGTCGAGTGTTGGAGCTATTTCGAGAAGCTATTACTGCGTTAGCAAATCAACTAAGAGCTAACTATTATTCCGAGGCAACAAACAACCACTATCTAATCCGCCGAATAGACGATATCGACAGCCGCTCTAAGAAGCGTATAAAGCTAATACACGCGTCTACGGTACGTTAATTTAATAAGCTAAGAGCCCTTCTTATTAGACGTGTTAGACACGTCCCTCTTATTCCTTCGCAGTTATCGTAGGTTACCGACTTTAGCCTTAACGAGAACCTCGTTGCTAACGTTATAACGCCGATAGGACATAGTAACGACGGCTACGATAGCGATAGAACTATCTCGTAGTTGTTAGAAGCGTTAGATATTGGAAATTAATGGCCGCTAGTGTATAGATATTCGCGTAATCGAGGTATTAGACTTAAGCGAGGAGGACTAAATCGGGTGTATCGTATATAGTGTTCCGAGTGCTCGTTGGTTCCGGAATTAGTAAGAAACTTGGTAAGAGGCGAATTCTCTAGCATAGTTGTTACTACCTTCGATACTATTAGTTATAATGCTACAGTTCTGTTAGTTACTAATAGTGAATTTCGAAGACTTCTAGAAATTTCTACACCCCTTACTATTCTCTGCCTTTGCATCTTGCTAAGATACTAAGAAGCAAGGTATATAGCTCTCGCTATAGTAAAACAGCTATCCGAAGCTCTTCCGTATCTAATCCGAGTATTAATAAGAGGATAGGGAAGAGTTGGATATTATCTCCTTACTAATCTATCGCTATTCTTTACCATTCTTTATTACTATCATTAATAACTACTTCCCTAATGTCTTCTATATTACTTCTAACCTCTAATCTATTACTAGAAGGGTTTGCACGCATTAGATCCGGCATTTCTATACCTACTAGCGGTATAGGTAGCAGCTTAGCACCTAAGTAATCTCTAATGTCCGGATACCTTAAACCGTAGTACGTAGCGACCTTGTTTCTACGATAGCAAGACAGGCAATTAGTGAGTAACACTGCTACTAAATAGCAGGACCCTATCGGTATTAAACCAGTCCGCAGCCCCTTCTTATACTCGAAGAATAGCTAGTTGTTAGTTACCTTACTAAACCCCTATTCGACCGACTGTCGTAGAGCCGACTATTCCTTCGCAACCTACGCCTATATAGGGTTACGATAGCCGCCTCTCTTCGACTTCTACGATCCAATAATGCTATCAACCTGTCTATATGCCGAGTTACTAAAGAGAAAGAGCTTGTCTTCGATAGGGTCGTTATTAAACAACTTATGCTATACCTAGTTAATATTAGACTCGCGTACTAGTCGACTATCGCCGTAAGAGCCAGGATAAGGGCCATTAATAAGCAGTATTCTATCCGGTAGCTGTATACCTTAGAATTTGAGGCTATAGAAGTGCTTATAGCTATTATAGAACACCCTCTAGTTGCGACTAGGTCTCGCAATCTTCCTTATAGTGCTATCTATATATCCGAAGACACTAGACACTCTAACTAATAGATACAGCGACTCCGCCAGGCTCCGGAGATATTGCTTACTAAGCCGCCTCTTGTTAAAGAATAAGAACGACTTCTACCTTAGCGCTAGGCTATATACTACCGCATTGAATATATAACTTAATATAGTAGCTAAATAGCCAAACTTCTCATCTATATCCTTCTAGAAGCCTAGACTAGACAGCCGCTTACAGACAATATAAAGCACCGTTATAGGTAGCAATTTAAGGCTAACTAGCAATACGATTGAACCAATATCTAATAGGTCTACTAACTCTATCAATTTAGGCCTTGTAAAGCGGAAGTTACCCTTGATATTAGCCTCCGGATAACTGAGAAGGTCGAAGCGCTGTTTGTTATATATTCTCGCCGGTTCAAATAGTCGGTTACGCCTTAACTGGCGGTGCTATTATTTACGTATAGATTCACCCTCCCTCTACGCCTACCGGTCCTTATTACTGCTATCTTCCTCGAGGTATTTACTCGCAATAGCAACGACCGTTGCAGTAGCTGCAGTAACTACAATCGCTCCAGTTTCTATAGTTTAGTATACTATACTGTCTATAGGTCTATAGCTAAGGTCTATACCCCTAGAAGGTCTAGAACAGGGGCTCCTTACTACACTAAACCGCTTTCAATTATATACCAATTGGCCTCTTCTAAAGGTCCGTAAAAAGCGCTACATTAATCCTTTACCTAACGGTTACGAGCTAGCGCTTATTTGGAAGCCGGTAGCTAGGTTAGCTATTTCTAAAGGTCCCTATTGGATTTGTCGTGTATGTCAGGAGTTTTAGTAAAACCTAAATGGAGTTATAAGCACAGCGTTTTACTAGTGATTACTAGGCAATAAGCTACCCGCAATCCTCTAGTTTAGTAGCGTTTAGAACCGCTCGGCGTAGTAACGAATTGGGTTAAGAAGGGCGCCTCTCTCGAGCCTGTCGGTAAAGCGGCTATTTAACTATTTAACTATTATAGAAGCAGCAATTTTGCAGTAGAAGAGACTATTATAGAAGCAGCAATTTTGTAGTAGAAGAGACTATTATAGAAGCAGCAATTTTGTAGTAGAAGAGACTATTGTTATTACTATATAATTACCGCCTTCTACGACTATGTCGGAAAGCCTAGCTACGCTAATTGCTATCTCTTCGACCTCGTTGTTGCTTAGTGCGTTGTCTACGAGCTATTAACTTACCAGCGGTTAACTAACTAGCGGTTAACTAGCGGTTACTATATGTTCTTATACCTCTTATCTCTCGTCTAACTCGCTCGTTACTAGGTAGGTTATTAGCGGCGTCGTCTTCCGAGTCGTCTGTTGTCTAACTAGTTAGTCGCCTAGCCGCTCGTTCGTAATC